TGAACGCGTGCTCATGTCGAGGAGTCGCACGGGCGCCCATGTTAAAACGAAGAAGATCGCGTGCCCGAACCCTTCCTCCTACCTGACGCCCCGACTCGCCAGAGCATCCCGCGCCTTTCACCCCCAGCACAAAGGCCGCCTGCGCGACCCCAGATATCTTCCGCCGCGATTCCCTTAGATGGCCGAGTACTCGGTCTACCCCAGGGGAACCGGCAATACCTTCTATCCGCAACACACACAAAACATACGCAACCTCCCCAGCCGAGTGCGCTCACCCACGTCTACCGCCCGCATACCCTTCCCCAACCCCGACACCCCCTCGCCGTCACGATCTCCTGGACGCCAGTCGTCTCCCCAGCAGTTCGGCATGTTCAACCAGGCCCATGGGCACCAGGGCCACAACGTTATGATGAACGGGCGAGCAGGGCAGCAGAACTTCATGCAGCACATGAACCTGGGGAAGCCCTTCCAACACAACCAGCACCACCAGAACCAGCACCAACATCACCAGCAGCACCAGGACATCTCCGGAAACAATCATGTCGGCCAATTCAACCACCAGCACAACATCTCGAGTGGGGGTATGTCCAACGTGCAGCCCCACTTTACGCCGGGCCATCTCCAGAACGGCACACCAAACAGCGTTCATAGTGGACTCAGCAAACCACCAACCGAACACTGGCAAGAGCAATTGAAGCTGCACCAGACCGCGCGTGAAATGACGCAGGCCCACTCACACGCTCGAATCCACCCGAGCGTTAGTAAGAGCATCGTAGCGGGAACATCAAACGGGATGCAAAAAGAGACGGACAAAGAAGAGCGCAATAGGCCTGCTGCTCAGCGGGTGGAGGATGCCAAGGACCAACATATTTGGACAATTCTCGATTTCGGCGGCCAGAATCTTAAAGTCATCACGCCAGCCTTGTTTGCCTACACTTTCCTGACCAAGCTCTACCTCAACTCCAACAAGCTCACCTACGTGCACCAGAAGATTGGACAGCTGCGGAACCTCACTCATCTCGATCTGTCCCTGAACAATCTGCAATATCTACCCCCGGAGATTGGCATGCTAGTGAACCTGAAGCAGCTGCTCCTATTTGACAACCATATCGAGAATCTGCCATACGAACTAGGATCCTTGTATCAACTGGAAATGCTGGGTATCGAGGGTAACCCTATTCCGGACGATCTGAAACAGATCATAATGGAACAAGGCACCACGGAACTTATCAAGCACTTCCGCGAGAACGCACCGGGTCCAGAGGCGCCACCAGAGCGAGACTGGATTGTCCTCGATGAGGTTCAAGACACGGCACAAGAGACTGTGAGCGCGCTCAGCTACAACATCTTGTGCGACAAATACTGTACGCAATCACAGTACGGATACACACCGAGTTCAGCATTGGCCTGGGAGAGTCGCAGGGAGCTCATTCTTGCTGAACTGCGGGAGCGCGACGCAGACATAGTGTGTCTGCAAGAAATCGATCAAGATAGTTTCAACGAGTTCTTCCGAGCAGAGCTGGCGCACAACGACTACAAGGGAGTATTCTGGCCGAAATCACGAGCGCGTACCATGGCAGAAAGGGAAGCAAAGCTGGTCGATGGGTGTGCCATCTTCTACAAGAACAGCAAGTAAGTTGTTATCCGTTTCGTCTTGCGGAACCCCACTAATCAGTCCAGGTACATCCTGCTGGACAAGCAGCTCATCGACTTTGCCAATACAGCCATCAACCGTCCGGATATGAAGGGCGAACACGATATCTTCAATCGAGTCATGCCCAGAGACGATATTGGCGTTGTTGCTTTCCTCGAAAACCGTGCTACTGGTTCCAGATTCATTGTCGGAAACGTACACGTCTTCTGGAACCCTGCGTTCCAGGATGTCAAGCTTGTGCAAGTCGCCATCTTGATGGAGGGTATCACCAAGCTTGCAACTCAATGGACTAAGCACCCGGCCTGCAAGAACAAGGTGGTGTACCAGTTCACGAATGGCGATAGCGAAGAAGGAGCCGAACCCGACCCGACAAAAGAGCCTGGACCTTCCAAGGAATACTCTGATCCTTCCGATATCCCCGTGTTGCTTTGCGGTGACTTCAACTCGCTGCCATCCTCCGGTGTCTACGATCTAATCACACATGGCAATGTTTCGAATGCTCACGTGGATCTGGGAAGCCGCAAGTATGGTAACTTCACACGAGACGGTATATCCCATCCATTCAGTCTCAAGTCCAGCTACGCGTCTATCGGCGAGTTGGCGTTTACGAACTACGTACCTCACTTCCAAGGAGTCCTGGACTACATCTGGTACTCGACAAACACACTGCAGGTGGTAGGTCTGCTTGGCGAGATTGACAAGAACTATCTCCAGCGGGTACCGGGTTTCCCCAACTACCACTTCCCCAGTGACCACGTGGCCCTGTACGCGCAATACATTGTCAAGAATCGCAAAGAGGCGAAGAAGGTGTCCGAAGTCGACTTTGGGCCAAGCCGGGATCGAAGGAATTGATCGGCTTAAGGTCGTTTGGCCTCCGGGCATGTCAATACGCTTTCTGGTGCAGCAATCTCCGTCGTTTTCAGGCGTCATTTGCTCGGTGTTCGGTTGCTACGGTTCGCTCGCGTCCTTTGCGGGCTTCACGATGGAGATTTAGTTTTGGTAACGAGGTGAATCGCTCGATAGACGGTGCGCGGTCTGATCACTTGGGAGGTATGAGCAATGCCGGCGGTTAGTGCATGAATCTTGTATCATGTTTGTTGTTAGTGTCTGGAACATGTTTCCCTTGGTAGCCTGACGATGGAAGGACCACTACTCTCTTTTTCAACGTGCGAAGCGTTTGGCTGTCTGTGGCTGGTGTTTATCGGCATGGGATGTTTGATCTATTTTCTGGGTTCGTCTTGCGTTCATCTTTTCTGCAATGTATCAACTAGGTAGCTCCTTCAAAAAGGCCTCGTCGCCTGCACTCGAGCAGGTCTGACTACGGTTTTACCGTTCAACATGTCCTCGATGCACGTGTGGTGTAACGTGGTTGCGTGAGGAACGCTGCGTGAACATGGCTTTCGGACCACAGATGCGTCATGGGGCAGCGTCAACGGCCACAATTCGCTGGAATGAGCCGTCGAGGAGGATGAGGGGAAGGGGTCTCGCTTGACCGCCGCGGCAGGGACCCACTTAGTTGACATCGACGTGCGCTCCTCGACAACTTCGTCCAGGCCGCGCAACACGCAATTACCTCCCTCCTCCCTGTACATCTCGAGCCACCTCTCTTCTCGTACACTCTAGACACAATGGCTGCTGCTGCGACGAGCGAGCTGAAGCTCGACCCCAAGTACGACCACTACGACTTTCCCACCGTCGCTCCCACCGCCCAACCAGGACACCCAGGCCACACAACTCCAGAGCAAGATGCCCAGGTCTTCCAGCTGAGAACCCAGCTGGAGCAGTCCGGCCACACCAAGAACCTCGACACCCTGACTCTGGTATGCTCACCGCTTCTCCTGCGGGTGCAAAGGCCTCAAGCTAAACAATCTACAGCTGCGGTTCCTCCGCGCGCGAAAGTTCAATGTCGAGCTTGCGAAACAGATGTACGTACATGCAGCATGGGGACGTTGTAGGAGAATGGCTGGAATGTATGCTGACAGTCACCAGGTTCGTTGACTGCGAGAAGTGGAGGGCCGAGTATGCTGGCGTCGGCGTTGAGGAGCTCGTCCGCACCTTTGACTACAAGGAGCGACCCGAGGTCTTCAAGTTCTACCCCCAGTACTACCACAAGACGGACAAGGTACGTGGCTTCTACTTGGGCTGCGAGCACAGCCCAGATCTGACCAACGAAACCTCTGACGCAACACTAGGATGGCCGCCCACTCTACATCGAGCAGCTCGGCAACGTCGACCTGACCGCGCTCGGAAAGATCACCTCCCAGGAGCGCATGATCCAGAACCTTGTCTGCGAATACGAAAAGATGGCCGACCCCCGTCTTCCTGCCTGCTCCCGCAAGTCGGGCTACCTCCTCGAGACATCTTGCACAATCATGGACCTGAAGGGCGTTGGTATTGGCAAGGCTACCTCTGTGTACGGCTACCTCGGCGCCGTCTCGCAGATCAGTCAAAACTACTACCCCGAGCGTCTGGGCAAGATGTACATCATCAACGCCCCCTGGGGTTTCTCGGGCGTCTTCAGCGTAGTCAAGAAGTTCCTCGATCCCGTCACAAGCGCCAAGATCCACGTTCTCGGCAGCGGATACCAGAAGGAGTTGCTGGCGCAGGTCCCAGCCGAGAACCTGCCCAAGGCATTCGGTGGATCATGCGAGTGCGAGAAGGGCTGCCAATTGAGCGATGCAGGCCCATGGTGGGATGCACAGTGGGCAAAGGAACCCAAGTGGGCCAAGAAGAGCGACGATGCGATTGACAACACGGCTCTTCCTGCACCTACTGAGGGCGTTGCGGGTACTGCACCAGCTGCGCCTGTCGGCACCGACCCTGCTACCGCACCTGCGCCTGCCACTACCTAGGCGGAGTGTGTTCTCGAAGCAGGAAGGGGTGTTTAGAATGTCAACGGTATGGCGTAGGGGCGTGATGTTCGAAAGGGGGTGCGCTGATTGCAGCATAGATAAGCGTGGTAGGTGTTCACGCGGCGGCATAGCAAGTGTAAAATGTCATCATACAGGTTTCAAGAGCAACTAGCTTACAACGCGCACACCGTTTTGCATAGGACTCATGTGTGACTACTGATATAGAAGCAGCTAGATCTGGTCACGAATGTTGGTCATCTTCGACTCAAGAGCCTGGTGTTGTATGGCGCCTCAGTGAAATCCGCAAGGCGCCAAAACCTTCATATTCACTACTTGCGTACTATGGGGTCTAGTGTAACGACCGTGCGAGGGGGAACGTCCGTACAGATTGCGATTTTCTTCTCTCTTATTCCCACCCTCCCTAAACGCTGCACCTCAAACCGCTCATCTTAGGTGCCAACCTACAAGGCAAACTTTTCTAACTCAACCCTACAATGCGTCTGCGCGCCAGGTATGCTAATGAAAGAAGAAGCTACGACTCTGCGTCCGACAGATGCGATGTCGACCCTGAGCCCGACGATGCTCTTCTCCGAAAGTCACCAGATGCGGATGACGATATTCCCTCATCGATTTTAGATAACGATATTCTCTCACAGAGTTCAGATGAGGATACTATCTGCGTCGTTGTCGGTAAAGAATCAAATAAAAGGAAGTTCTTCATGGACCCGTACCGCATCTGTCATTGCAGCAAGTTCTTCCGCAACGCCTTGAGGGGGGGGGGATGGAAGTCAGCACAGACTCTCAAAGTCACTTTGAAAGAAGAGGACCCTAGGATATTCGCTTGGTATCTAGACACACTCTATGTACGCATGCTCACACGGTCAGCGTGTCCATATCTTGGCTAACGAAGAGTACATAGAACGGCACCAAGACATCCTTCAAAGGTCAGCCGTGGTCTTTCCAGCCCATGAGCGAGCTCTACGTCCTCGCTGAGATGCTCATGGACGACTCCACTAAGAAGGTTATCCTGGCGGCCATTCAGAAACGATGCGAGAGCCCTCAATTCGGCCACTCCCTCCCGGAGCCATCTGCAGTGCGTACTATCTACGACGGTACACCCGAGTCGAGTCCCGCGCGTCGTTTGATGGTTGATATCTTCTCCCAACGTGCAAGTAAAGAGCGCATTGAGCACTGGACGACGGAGAACTTGCCGAAAGACTTTCTCCTCGATCTGTCGGTCAATCTCATCGCCCAACGTTCCCCTCTAGATGACGATAATAGGGGACAAGATGAGGGCAAGAATGCTAAGAAGCGTGCAGCTGAAGAATCTGACGACGAATTAGCCCTCTATCTTGACTCGCTAAAGTCGCCTCCAAAGGTGAAGAGGAAGATCGTGAAGCTGAAGTTGCGTGCCGACGGCCATGATCGCCTCGCCTTTCCTGACAAGTACTCCGTGCTAGCCGATGCAGACTCGGGAAATACAAAGACAAAGGTCACTCTTGGTTCCCAACACGATACCGCATACATCAGGTAAGCTCTTGACAGTAGGTAACGCAAGCGGACATTACACTGACTTCTGCAGGGCTGAGCGCACAGCCGAATGGCAGACAAACATTAGCAACCTTCCAGGTGGTCCTGTTAAGCCGCAGATAATGACCGATGACGGCAGGAGTTGGTTCGAAACCGATTGAGAGTAAACGAGTCGATTGAGGAATAGACGCTATAGTAGTAGAAATATTGATGCTATTCATTCGTAGGACACGACTACGGATTCTTGGGAAAACAACAACGGCAGGAGGCTGGATGTGTTTAGTCCAGTCAATAAGACGAGAATAACTCTGACACCCGGTTCTGCATCTCGCTCACCACTTAGGAGTCTGTGCTCATCGTCGAAAAAGATGCTCAACTCAACACACATACGAAGTGATGAAGTCAGAAAGCTTTTGATAGATTACCAGGTATGTTGCTATCATATAGATCGGCAGCGAAAGACCCGTGGAGTGACACATGCCACCTCAACCCTGTAATCGCCATGTTCCCTCAAAGCGATGCTCTTTCTCGCCGAGAGCAGTCGGGGAGAAAGCACGTAAAGTACACACCCAATAAACCATGATACAACTAAATATACCGCTACGCCGTGCTCCAATATAACATGCATCCCACAAAGACAGTAGACCGACTTACAGTGTTGTGTTCTTTTACTCAGACCGCCAGCAAACCATGTCGTAGCGATTTCGGATTGATAGCATCCTACGACTAGATACGGTGCTTCTCCGATTCTGCATAGATAGTCAGCATTATGAGTGGTATGTGATGGAATGCACTACTAACCGAGTCGCGAGTACAGCATGTATAGTGCCATTTGGTTGCATTCTTGTGTACCCGTGATGGTAACAAGACGCTCGTTGCTGTTGTCGGTGGGCTCGTTGATCTTGATGACACTGCCACTGAGCTGGCGGATTTCATTGATCTTCGCACCGCCCTTGCCAATGATGGCACCGACCATGTCGTTGGGAATGAAAATCTGCTGGGTAAGAGGTTGGCCAGGCATGCCACCAACAGCTGCGTGTGGAGCGGCGCCGCCATGCGCAACAGGCGCTGCAGCAGGGTGACCGCCGTAAGGAGTGGGCGCTGCAGGACCACCGTAAGGACCACGGCTAGGCGAGCCAGCGCCGTAAGGCATGTTGGGATGACCGTACGGCGACTGCTGTGGAGGCTGTCCATGCTGCATGTGCGGAGCACCATAGCCTCCGTGAGCAGGAGTTCGCTGGGGTGGTTCTTGGCGACGGAAGTTCTGTGGGTGAGAGTACTGACCTCCAGCGGGCTGGGGAACGTATGGTTGAACAGACATGCCGCCTGGGACGACGTTGGCAGCCATACCACTACGGGTTGCATATTGGGATGCAGCCGGTCCACCGAATCGCTCGGTCAGCTGCTCGACCAAGGTCTGAGCAACATAGTACACAGCAATGTGCACAGCGTCAGCAACACCCAGTACGATCAACGAACGTTCGCCAGAGTTGGGAAGGAGAGTGTCAGATGCGTTCAACTTAGCGTTAGAAGCCTCTTGGATCTCGCGGATGCGGACGCCAGCCTTTCCGATGATGGAACCGATAAGGATGTGAGGAATCAGAAGACGCATAGGGTAGGCCTTGGAGGTGGATGTAGAAGGTGTCTCGAGGTCCTCCTGGTTGAGGGTGCGCACAATGAGGCCGAATGCCTTGGACACAGCATCAACTTGGCCGCTTACAGTAAGGATGCGTTCAACAGCGCCCCGAGAGTAGTCGCTAACGGTGCACTTGGCGCCGGACAAGCGACGAATCTGAGTCACATTTTCTCCGCCCTTGCCAATGATGGTAGCGGCCTCGCTGGTGCCAATGCAAGCGCGCACATGCAGCCAGTTGGTCTCGTCCACCTGCTGGTTGTGATTTACAGGCCGACCATTGGCACCTGATGTGGATTGGATAGGCTGAGTCTCAAGGATAGAGGGTGCGTCTGGGACAACAGTGTCGGTATGGATCGGCTGGGCACCGTTCTCGACAGCAGCTTCAGCCGCTTCGGGTACCACCTTTACGTCCTCTTGTGTGATGCCTTCCGTGGCGATGTCGTCGGCCTGGACTGGTTGCGCGATATCGATGTTGTCTGGGTTGGGCGCATCCTCCTTGACCATCTTGTCGAGAGCAGGACGCTTGGCATCGGGTTGGTCATTGGGTCCGGCAGGCGATGAGGGTTCCTCGAGCGGTCGCTTGGCCGAGGAAGCCGCGATGGTGGGTGACGCGGACATGTTTTCTGTTATGAGTTGTGGATCTTGAATTTGGAAACGGGTATGCACGCTCTTCACAGTCGAGGAGCGTTCAAACGGGAAGGTGAGATTTGTTCAATTGATCTCGATTATTTGCGACTTTATGTACAGCGGGGGCCGTGAAAGAAAGCGTGCTGTGAGGGCGGGCTGGAGGGAGTCGCGACAGTGCGGTGAAGGTGCGAGGAGGTAACGTCGCCGGGAGCTTGAAGGAGTTTGGAGCGTGCAGAGGGTGCAGTGGTCGGAGGAGAGAGGCCTCGGGAAGCGAGGGATCGGGTATGATGGTGCTTGTGATGGAGCGGGAGAGTCGGAAAGGGTGTGTGTTTCTTGGGACGAGGTGAGGTCGACAGAGGAAGAAACTGGCCCAAGTAAAGAAAGCTCGCTCGTCAAACCTTCTCGGCAACGGTCCGGCGTCTCAGGTGCGGAGAGCTCGAGGTTGCGCGCTTTCCTTCTCAAACGAGAAAGCAATGTTAGAAGAAGGGGTGGGCCGCGATGGAGAAGGAACTGTGGGCGATGGTTGACAACAGCAGGTCGTTTGTCGCGAGGGAGGAGGCGCAAACGATGCAAAATGGAGCTATCGCGGGGAGATCGGCGCTAAGTCTTGGCGCGTCACGTGTGGTACTACGACTTTGTCTGTGAATACAGGTAGCACGGCAACTGAGAGACTGTTGAGTTCCTCGCGGTGCAGCGGGAGCCTTAGTGAGTACACAGTTGAAAGGGGTGAAGCCCTCCTCGCTCGCCAGGCACCACTGGCCCGTTAGCGACATCGGTGGACCGCACTTGAACACACAGCCAGCCGGTCGGAGAAATGGCGCAACTACAGAGTGAGAGTCTCAGAAAGATACGCGAGCATTTCGAAGAAGCTCGGGGTCTGCAGGACGATGTCGTCGACTTCGACGCGTCCAGCACTGAGGCGCGTCTGGAGCAGACAGTGAAAGAGCTGCAGGCACGCGTGAAAGAACAACAAGCAGCGCTTGACAAGGTAACGCGATAAAGACGCGTCTAGAAAGGATGATACTGACCAAGTAAAAGTTGCGATCTCAGTCACATGTTGATATAGAGACAGCCGCCTATGCATCGGAAGATCCGCGTCAGAAGCTTCAGCAGCTCGCAGCCGTCAAAGACGCGTATAAACAGTTGAAGCCAACAGCAACGTACCTCCCCACCCAAGGATCAGTTCTGCCTGCATTGTTAGCAGCACGCACACTTCAACAGAATGTCCAAGGGACCAAGGAAGCCATCACAAGCACTCAGAGCCAACTCAGCACAAAAGAGGCCACGCTTCGTCGTGAAGAAGCCAACTTACACGATGCCCACCTTCTTACTCAGGCAATGCAGGATCGCATCAGACGGCTACGCTCTCAGCATGAAGATCGCTCTCAGAAGACTCCTGCTCAACTTGCACGAGAACTCATCGCAGCAAAGCGCGCAAAGAAGGAGAACTACGACGCGGAGATGCAGCGTCTGGGAGAAGCTATGAACAACTTCATCAATGACTACCTCTCTAGCATGCTTGCAGCAGAAGAGCTCGGCGGCCCTGTCGTAGGCGACATGCTCGACATAGAAGACGACACTCTTGCTGCCGGTTTCACAAAGAAAGGACGCGCAAAGTCATCGAAGAAACCAGTCTCAGACAAGACGCGACAGCGCAGGATCGATGAGATCTGGGGCAAAAAGGCTTCTCTCGATGCTGAAGAGGAGGAGGAAGAGCCGCCTACTGAGGCTGAAGCTGCGGATGCAGAGATGCGACAGTTGATTGAGAATCTGTTTGCTACTCTGATGGGACCAGGAGGTGGAAAGGCATACTTTCAACTGGAGCGGGACTCTGCGGCTTCACGTTTCTTGATCAGGGCGAAGATTGCGCAGTTTCACCCGAAAGATGCGAGGAGGTTGAGATTGATTGACTTTGGACGAGAGCTGGATGACTGAGGACGCTGCAAACTAATACTGCGGTCATCAACGCGCAAACCTGAGGAAACTGCATATGCTGAGCATGAAGCGACCTCCACGCATATTGGAGAGGTGTTGCCTCGTTACGAGACGCATGCCCCCCTTAGGCATACATTATCCAAAGCCTTGTCGGTCTCTCGTGTTTATTCAATCCTTCGGTCCATGTCTGCAAAGAGTCCCTCTCACCTGTGGCGGTGCACCTGTGTCCGGTATACACGCCGACATCGTACGTTACTTTTAGGATATGTCAATACCTTGGTTCCGCACAGCTCCGCTCCACACATGCACGCACGCCTCCTGCGGCCCACACATGCATCCCGCGCAACACATCATCCACAAGCCAGGTTTTGGGTCAGGATAACCCGGCTATCGCAAGACGCGCCCGATCTCCTTTCGTCAGTGCAGCGTCCCAAATGGAATCTTGACCCGACTCTCGGAGACACTGTTCCGAAGGGAGTAAATGTGGGATATTGGACATCGGAAAAGTACAAAGAAGGTCTTATCGGAGCAGTGGTATTGAAAGGCTGGGGGTTCGTGCACGTGCGCCTGAACGAAGGATTCCAGGGCAACGTTACCATGTACAATAATATGGCTCAATATGACAATGGGGATCTTCCCGTCCTGGCGCTTCCGCCGAGAAAATCTGACAGCAAAGCGATCATAGCAGTATCAGCACATGGGTGAGCATGTCTGTACGAGATTCATGGCTGCGAGGCCGCATCAGCTGAAGGTCACCGAAAAAGCACAACACCCGTATTCAACAACTAGCCCCCCATGGTCCTCTTCGGAGATCAAAGATAGAACCTTGGAAGAAGCAAAAAGCAGGTGCATGGAAGAATCGCCGTATGTATGTCAAAATTCCGAAAGGGACTGCCGGATGGAGCACGCGTCCTGGCGCTGTCAAAACCAAGTACCGTGCAGGTGACTACCTTGAGGATAACCTTGCAGCAACGCACACCGTGGGATCGAAACATGAACAGCTGCACACGGGGCTAATGCAGAGATGCATCAACGTGGCTCCTGTAGGAACAGTCTCACACCTTACATTGTCGCTTTTCTCCAATGCGCCCACTCGGCAGTCTTCCAGGCCTGCGTCAGTGGCTGATGCGCATGACAGCTTTGTCCAGGCCCTTGATTCGTTGCGAGTCGCAAACGAGATAACCACGATCCCAAACGCGTTGTTTTGATTCGAGGGATATTAGGTGCTTTGCTGCTACCATTTCAGCCGGAGGATGCGATCGCGATTGCGCGCGTAGCCTTGCCAATGCAGAGCGGCGGGTGGGAGATCTCGCGCTGGCTGACTGCTGCTTTACAGGTACCGGGCTGTGGGAAGCGAGCTGTGGAGACGGCGCCGAATTGTGCTGGCCAGATCTCCATCAAGTGCAAGCCTGGCCTGTCTATCCTGAAACACTTGTGGGTGATCAGGAGCTTTTTCTGACCGCATGTATGAAGTCATCGTGGAGCAAAGTGCAAACGTCTTTGTGACAGCGGGCATGAAGACGTTTTTTCGGCCTCTGTTCTCCGCGGTAATTTGGGCGCCATCCATGCTCGAGCCACTCGTGCGCACCCTCGTGAACGAGAAGCGAACAGGGGCTAGGGAAATTGCTGATCCCGCTTTTTTTTTCACCCACGCAGAATCTCATCCGAAATCCGGTGACTTCATTATGCATGATCGATTCACATATGATCGCAATACGGGGCTTCTCCCTCAGATTTGCATTGTTGACGGTCCGATAGTAAAGCCGACTTTTGTGAAGACATGGTACCATCTTAGTAGTTCTTGTTGCGCGGGATTTGGATCTGGGATCGGTAGTCCTTCCGATGCTCTAGCGTGTGGATGCGTACCAAACATGCACCATCTCGTTTTTGGCGCTCACGAGACCCGATCCTACCTTCCAGGAATGCATAAGTGTACCCATGTTGTGAAGCTAGACTGCTTCGCACAACCCCTCGATCTAGCACAAATCGCAATACCTAACCTCCACGTAACAGCATTGACAATCTTCCTAGTCTGCTTGATGCCCAGATGGGACTTACCGTAATGCGCAGTGCGGAATACTAGCGACTCTCATAGGCCCATCCAGAGCGGCATTTCATCGCTGTTTCAGCGCAGTGGCTGTGCGAGCTCACCATTGCTTCTGTGTCATCGGAGGCGTTCCGTCTGGCAATTGGGCTGCAGAGTCAGATTAAGCAAAAGTACACAGTAGCCAGCATACGCTAGGATCTGCAAACTACGGCTGATATGCTTACCCTACGGCAGAAGCGGGGTACCAACAATCTAGATTGCAGAGAAGATTGATATGTCGCCGAGTCTCCTGGAATTGGAATTGCGCTTGCTGCAGATGAAGCATGTTGGCATGTGAATTGATCAACGCCGTTGTGAGGGGTACGTAACACCTATCTGTGGCGGTGCAAACTCCTTCGGATTGCGTCTCGGTACACTTGCGTCAAGATGCACCACTGGGGCATTGACTAACCTTTTTGATGCCTCATAAGACGGGGAAAGAAAAATGCTCCATACATCTGTCGGCCGTGAGTCACAGTTCATCCATGTGCGCATGACACCTGCGTCAGCTGGTCGGACGTGTTCCACCATGTGGCACATACCAGCGTTCCCGAAGATGTGGCGAAGAAGGGTCCAGCCACAAGCACTCGCCACTTCCCGTCTCGCTTGAGTAGACAATATGTCGATCTCCGTGTAGATCCAGCATGCTCATTGGCTGTCACATAACGGTTTTCTCAGATAGCTTACACAGCCGCTATGATTAGAACGCCTCATTCCAACGTAGTAAAGTGGTCGATCGCTCGGATGCTTATGTAGTCGGTTCCGGTTCATGTTGCACCTTCGCTCCGTGATGCGCTTGGAAGGGAGGGTCTTCGGGGTCCGCGATAGGCTCTGCAGCGTTGCGAACGGTGGCGAACTTGTTGGAGCACGTCGGCTAGCTTTCCGTTGTGCTAGCGAGCTGTTTCTCCCGTTTGAGTACAGCTACGGGAGAAGCAACGGCAGTACCGGAACACTCTCCTTTGCAATCGTCCGGACGGCAAGCCCAGTTGCTTCCGAAAATACGCAAAGATGTATCTTTTCCTTGTATCATCACGCCACACCTGCATGGCACTTGCTCGGATACTGCAGATGCCCTAGACTATTTGTTGGAGCTGCAATCGGTACGATGGATTGGCGTTTCATAATTGCGATTGAATGAGGCAGCTACTCAGCAATAGACCTGCGAGTAGATCCGTTCGGTCCGTTCTCATTTGACGCGTCCTCTGTAAATGCCAGCGCATCTTTTGGACCCTGTTCATTCGGTCTGACTTATCGTTTTCTTTGGGTGTACCATGGTCGTGATTCGCGAGTCCTTTCCTGCAGTATGACATCAAGGCTCGGCCGCACAATCCTTTGGGTCGGGTCCCTGTGCTATCGGTATCGGCTACCATACCCACACTTCCCGCCAGCCCCCTCAATTACTCGCGTGGCAGGGGCCCCCGCCCAATCGCTGACAGGTGTACCAAACACTGTGTCAACATTGTCGAACTCTATGTTTTGCAAAGCGAAACCGATGGCAATCATCGCAATAGCCCTTCCGTGAATGTGTCAGTTGTTACTCGCGCAAGCCACCCATTTTCCAGAGCCCCTGTTTGGATAGCAGCGTGCGTAATTTCCGGAGACAATAGCGTGTCGGATGCTTGTTATACGCCAAGAGACTGAAATATCACTCGATGGGTCTGACATGGAGAAATCTGCCGTGATGGTGACGGTCGGAACAAGGTTTCTAACTTGGGAGGCGGACGGGGGGAATGTAGCGATCATCGCTATGTCACAACGTCAGTGGAGATGGGCCGCGGCGAGCGGCCCTGCTTCGGTCGGCCAGGGTGAGAGCGTGGACCTGACGAAAATTGTACAGGGAAGAGATGTCGAAAGATCGCGAGCGAAAATTTCAGAGCGAAAAGGTTTGATTAGGCTCGCAGAGGATATTGGGCATGCGCACTGTAGTGGACAGAGTTGCCATCCTCGATGTATGTAGTAAAGAAATTACAGTCCGAACACTCCCTCGTGTCGCGCGTGTATCTCGCTATGTCTTCATGATAGATCGTTGCTTTGCAATCTTAGCCGCTTGAAAGGTGAAATGGTAGTAGTATAATGGGTATCGTCGTCGCACCGGAAAGAAGAAGAGTAGAAGGTATCAACAAAGGAAATGCAGCAAACGCTCCCAATGGACGCGTGGTATCGAAAGGCGTTGAACGCCAGGCGGTGAAATTGAATCAAGTGATGCCAGTTCAGAAGCATCAGCAGCCCATGGAGACCAATGCAAAGCTCCAGGGTACGAATAGTAAAGGGTCGTGACAATCGGTGAAGTACCGAAACAGGGTATCAATGTTGAAGGAACGGCGTCTCGCAGGCGAGCAGTAGGCATAAAAGCCTAAAAGAGAAGGCGAAGTTCGTAACCGGTCGAATGAACATTTTCCGTGACGCTGATGTCGCCATCAACTTGAATGTCGGTAGGACCCGCGTCCCATTCGCGTTTCATGGCATGCACCGGCGGCGTACCAATCTCGTGGAACTCGGCAGTCATATCCTGTTGCTCGGGTATTCTGTTGACGGCATCGTCGTCCATCAAAATTTGCAGACCCTTCTGGTTGACGCGGATAGTCCGTGTGACCTTGGTTGGCTCGATCTTGATCTTCATTGCGATGCTTGCAACGAGCTCCTTTACAGTACGCTCCATCAGGTAGACTGCGCGGAAGTAGTTGTCGTCGGGTTGCCGACCAGCGAGGCGCGGTTGAACGAAGAAGCAGGCGACGGGCTTCAGCATCGGCTCTGGAGGCGGTTGGTAGGTTTGATCAACCCCAAGGGCTTCAATCCATCCAGACAGTGCGTGGTCATCAGAATATGGCCGTTGAACCTTGGTTGGAACGTCTGCGCCGCCTTGGATGCCATGCGTCCCTTTGAGATCACCTGTGGCCGTCTGTGGCATGCTGCGCCATTCATTGGATGACATACGCGATGGTGGCTGGTAGGGCGCCGGACGCTGGAAGGAGGTAGTCCGGCGCTTCTCGGAATGAAGAGACTGAGAGCTGGGGGTTGGCGACACAACAGACGAAGCTGCTGTCTGCGACTCGGGAGCTTCCCACATAGGCGCGTCTACGTTGGTGTCGAGCTTAGACAGTTCTTGAGGAGTAGCGCCGAGGATCACTGGGTGAAGGTCTGGATCGTCCTGGTCCTCGCCCTTTAGGTACAGGACACTGACAGGCCTGGTAGAGCTGAACATGTCTTGGAGCGAGGCGAGCTTGATGTGAAGGTCTTCTTCGGCGGGTGCGCGGCCTCCTTGATTGTCGCTTGTCGAAGACATGGACCAGGTCCTCTTGTGTTTCGGTACCTTCCCAGGTCGTTGGCTCATACTGCCCTTGGAGATTGATCCACTGCGTTTCCGCTTGCCAAAGTCCTTCATGCCAGACTCAACCTGTGCGATCTGCTGCTTTAGCTTGTCGATGGTCTTCTTGACGTGGGCAACATCGTTGGAGAGCTTCCTTTCGGCACCGTGGTCGCGGAAGAGCTTGACTTTGCAGTAGCAGAGCTCACCATCTGGCTTTTGGGGCGACGATCCAGTGGCTTCGGTGACCATTTCAGTCTTCGCGCATAGCCGGACGGGAATGCCTTTGACGCCCTTGGAATGGCTGAAATCGGTGGAGAGAAAGTTGAAACGCACGGCTAAGGAGCACTCGGGTGAGGAGTTGTGGGTTGGTGTCCAGGTGACCACGAAGCCATCGAACGAGGAAGACTCGAGTTCAACCCTGGGTCGTCCTTGGATCTCGCCGCCGCTGACTTGGCTGGGATCCACAAACTCAACTGCTTGAAGCCGCCCACCACGCTGGTGGGCCTCGTTGGTTCCGCGGCCCTCCTTCCACAGTTGCCAGCAGGATGCCGGTCTCTGGCGCTGCTGTTCGTCTTCGAACGAAATGCGGATGAAAGTCCTGTACTTGGTCGATGGAGACGGTGCTTGCGTAGGCGCCGTGTCCACCAGGGAGATGGAATAGGCCTGTCCCTTGTTCAAGTAGGTCACAGGGACTTCGTCTGATTGCTTGATCATGGCCGTTGGAGCATTCAGAGTAACATGGTAGCGGAAGCTGGAAGAGTCAGTATGATCATGGCGTGATGCAGATGGGGTGACCGACTTTTGATTGGGTGGAGGGGGTGCTGGTGCGACTGCAGCCGCCATGCCGTCGTAGGAATGGGGTGCGTAACCGATCAGAGGCGACTGCTCTTGCATCTCGACTTCGGGGACCATGTTGTCCATGGACGAGTCCTGGTGGGTTTGCGTCATGTTGCCCTGGTCGAATGCAGAAGGCTGGTGCGTGAACTGGTGCGGTGCAAATGATTGGGAATGCTGCGGCTGCATGCCAAAGGGATTGACATTCTGGAAGTGATGCGACCCCAGGGCGTGGGGATTGAAGCCATGGAGATGGTTGGCAGGCGCGACCTGGCCAGCGTGCAGTGCGCCTTCTGAAGTGGGAAGCGAGAGGGGAGTTCCTAGGCCAAAGCTGAAGCCGGGCGTGTGGAGGTCGCCGGCCTGGCTGTGGTAGAGCGTGTTGGTGCCGCCGGGCGTCGGGGTGTAGTAGCCCGGCGGTTGGTTTGCGAAAGAGGTGAATGCGAAGCTGTTGGGGTCGAGCAGTGACGGAGTGAACCTCCACGGCTCATTGTTCCCGCGCGGAGTCGGGTCCTGGTCCTTGATGTCCTCATGGTCGAGGTGGCTGGAAAACATGGAGTTAGCAAAATGTTGGGTGCAGGTGCAAATTGGGCGTCGGCGTTGTTGACGTTGGTGATGGTGCCGAGTGACATGGGATGGGGGGATCTCGGAAAGACGTACCGGGAGGGGTGCGCGACATCAAGCGCATCTGCGAGCGTGTGGCCGGGCGGCCCAGCAATCGAGTGCGAACGCTGCTGCAGATGGGGGAACGTGGCCTTGAAGTCCTCGAGGAGCTTTCCGTCGGGTTTTTGGCTGTTGAGTCTGCGCAAGTCAGTATGTACTTGATGACATGCAACGCGACGCGCGCAAATCACATGCGGGCTTGGGCGCGGGCGGGACGACGTACCTATTTCGAAACATGGCATCGGACGCACTCGCGGAGTTAGGTGTGCAGGACTTGCGATTGCATCTGGCGGGACGGTGGGATAAGGTCGGAGACTGAGCAGCAAGGCGTGCGGCGGCCCTGGGTTATGAGATACGGAGAGCAGCTGCCACGAGAAAGACGAGCCTTTGGGGTCAAGCCACACATGTCCAGGGCCGGTGGTCAGACGTCTTTTAGCTAGCAGCTAGCGACCAGAGCATCCACAGGGCCTGACGGAATTGCAAGAGGGCCGCGCGTGGGCATGGGTGGAGCGTCGGGTCTAGGCACACGGTCCCTGCTGCTCTAACGCTACGGTTTTGCATGGCCCTAGGCGGCTTTGGTCCGCCGCCCTACTCTGTGCGCGACGTGCTGCCAGACTGATCACCCACCGCCCGGCCTGCACAGCCACAACCCTACGGCAGACGCGAGCCGGCCAGAAGCCCTCACGGCCGCATGGGGAGCTGATAGTCGCTGCGTCTGTCGCCATCCCGCACTCCAAGCGCACATCCGCCCATGGATGCTGGATCGCGCGGACCCAGCCCGATGTTTCTCGAATCCACTCCAGTTGCTACACCAGTGCGAGGCGCTCGTGCGCGGCTCCAGTGGCTTGATGAGTATTCCGTGCCCTGCCCGCAATTTGCTCGTCGCGACAAACGCTGCTCGCACACTATGCCCCCTTTGTCCTGCGAGACTGTTGCGGCGCCTACGGTGTGCGTTGGCGCCTCAATGCGAAATGACATATGCCGGCCAGCTCCCGTTTCCACTTGTGTCCCGAGACTGCAAAGCCCTGGTCTCGCTCCTGTATTCCACGCGGCAGACGTCTCTGCCGCTGCTCGCCCTACCATTCCAGTCTGCTGCCGGCCGCCTTCCCCTGCGTTCGAGCGCCGGATCAGAGACGAGGATTCCACCCCGCCAATTCGTCAAAGTCTATCGCCCAGGCCAATCCCACTGACGCCCGTTGGCCCTGTGTCGCTTGCGCTTACTCGGAAGACTTAATTCTTAACGTTATTTCACTACCTGTCAGGCCGAGATTAAGGAGTGGTTAGCGGGCGTTATCCCGAACGCGTTTCTATCCACCGACTGAACCATCAACGGCTTTCGTCATCGCCAGGCGCTTGGGCTTTGCATCTGGAGCCGTAAACGCATTGCAGCCACAAGAGCGAACGTCACTGCCTTATGCAGTTACACCAACCGCACTGCTGGCTGTTGCATGGAATGCTAGTCTTCCACGGCCAATCGCACTGCTGGGGAAGCCTCGTCCGGTAGGTCCAACGGAGGATTCCACTGACGCAGCGATCCTTGTGTAAAAATAAGTGTGGCAACAGTTACAGACGGTGATCGACAACGGGAACTCTCGACGAATAAAACGCCTCGCGCATTATCAGGTGGCAGAAACCTTTCAGTTAACTCGGCAATGATCGCCCGACTGTGGCACATCTTCGCACTCGCCACACTCAACGCCACACCTTGCTGATCACGCCTCAGAACAGAGTAGATAGCGAACGACGCGTAGGCTTGCAGAATGGAAGGAGCTGGAAAGGCCTTGTTCATGACTAGATGTTGCGATTAGATTCGAACAAGTTCAGAGTCCAGCCGAGTAGTGCAGTGCTCTGGCGTAGTGTCAATAGCCGTACCTCCTGAGCGATGCATTGGCCATAAGCAATCTAGAGTGAGGTCACCTCCGTACAACCGCGTCCGGATAGGTTCACCTCTCGACGCCGCCTTGTCATTGTGACAGCGCTTTGCGGGAAGAGCAGCAGTTGCATCGTCTGATGTGAGCTGCCAGTTTAGCCATAGGCTGTCATCTCGCTAATTGACGCGACTAATTTTGGTTATTACATGAAAAGCACTGCAATCTTAGACTGACACAAACTCGATCATCACAAAGCTGTGACGGACGTACTTGACAATAACCGTCGAATTATTCTCTTTCAAGTATACGGGATTTAGCATAACCCCACCATTTGTTGTAACGGTGTGAACGCTCCGGTCGGGACATTTCATAGTGAATCAATTATCCTTTCTGACGTTGGCGATTAGAATGCGTGGTACCGCACCATGTCTGACAGTCGAATCAAACTCAAACCGACGCGCTGAGTAACCGGCATGAAACACCAATCGCTGCCCGATTTGCCCAACATAACTCTAAGATCTCGATCACGAGTATATCAGACCTCCATTCATCAAACCGATGACGTTTTCTTTGGAACACCATGGCCCGGCCTTACCGAACTTTGTGAATTGTTCACTCGCGAAAGCGAAAGCCTCGGACTACCTCGAGCTGACCAGTGACGATGATTGACTTGCATCACTTGCAGCTCTCGCTGCTGCAATAGCCGTGAGCGTGTTACGCAGTCCTGTTCCACTATGTTGGTTCCTCAATACCGACGGAGAGTCTGGCATACGTAGACTGTTGATCGAACTGTTCCTGCTCTGAAGCTCCGGTCGCATGCTTCCGATCGAGTTTTCGCGGAATGCCGTAATAACACTTGAGCTAGACCCACGGCGGCTGTCTTGAGTCCTTGCATAAACCGACTGGATGCTTGAAGCGGAATCTGCTCGACGGCTACGACCCAGTGTCTGCACAGGACTGGGAATCTTTGAGTGCTTGCCCAAGTCCGCACCCAGAGTTTGGGACGATGAAGTCGATCTGATTGAGCGCGTATCAAGCGCCGGGCGTCCAGTACGCATGAGAAGGGGGGTGTCTGAATCATCAGAACCACTCACATTGGCCTCTCCATCAAGCGCCTTCAATTCCTCCGTGAGTGCTTCAAGCTGGTCAGCCCCAGGCTCGAAAGAGAACTGTCGGCGATGCTTTTGGTTTGTGTTGAGTTGGGGCTGCGACTGGAATTTTCGGAGGGTGTTCCGCGGCGCAAGGCTTTGGTCAAAATACTCGTATGTTCCATTGTCAGAGCTGGTTTTTTGACGTGGGGTCTGCGTATCATTCTCTTCGACATGTGCCGTCAACTTCTCTGCCGATCTGGTCTGCGAGAACAACATCATGAGGCCATGATTGAAACTGTTCACCTCTAGACCTCGACGTCTTGCGACAAGTGTGCCGAGTGCCCGAAGAGCGACAAGAGCTTCGCATTCGGTGGCTGGCTCCATGCCGGTGTGCTCCAGAATCGTCATCTCGTCAGGCAAAGGGTCGCCAGATCCTCCCGAGAAGCCAGAAGCGACAGAACTAGTAAAAGATCGAGAGGGCCTCGTCTTCTGAATGGCAACGAGATTGAGCTCGCTCTGGACTTTGCGCGACAATGTAAGATTCTTGCTAGTTTGCGGTGGATTGCCTACAGGCAACTCTTCCATGTCGTTGGTGAATTGCGTTGACAGGACGGCCATCTTTCCAGAGGGGGACGACGGCCGGTTTAAAAGCGCTGTGTAAGGTCAGCTAACATACGCAGGGTGTGTGAGTTGGTTTGGTTTAGGAGAGGAGAGTAAGCGAACGTATTTCGCCACCACCACGATAGTATACCGAGAATGTCTTCGCGGTACTATCGGCGGTCGAGTGGTCAGGCGCGAGGGTTGTGTATGCGGCAACGAGAAGTACATAGTACGCCTAAAGACTCACCTCTCTGACTCATTAACTTGATCTCCTGGTCAAGTTGCGCGTGTGAGAAGAAGTCGTATTTCGGTGGGAAACTGTCGTGCGAAATGGTCTTCCTATGACGCCGCACAATACTGTCTTGACGAGCCTGTATGAGTCTTGTTTCTGTTAGTAAAGGAAGAGCAAAAGATTGGACGCTACCTAGGTACTCACCCGGTCATGCCACTGGCCCCACGAGCTATGAGCAGCTCCAAGCGCCGTATCTCCGCACCATAACGATCTCTTGAGCGTGTCCAGTGCTCCTCGGCCTTTCTCCAATCTTTAAGTGTCTCCTCCAGCATCGTACTGAGACACTCCTTCTGCTCTCGTACCTTGCGATAGTCCTCAAACACACGGAAGAGGCCGCTGTTATGCTCCATCGGTATCGGCCAGGAAGCTGTTATCATATGCGATCGGACAGATGTTACGACGTCGAGCGGATCTATGTAGGTCTGGAAGGGCGCTGGTGCATCTTCACCCCATGGCGCAGAGAACGCGAACTCGGGCTCCTTGGCTGTCTCTTTGAAGTTGGCGAAGAGCGACGTGTAGCGAGCGAGCTTGGGCTTCGAGTCTCGACGTAGGGCTGGGGTATCTGAACGTTCACTTGGTGCGTCATCTGCGTCATCGGTGATAGGCGTGGTGTGCGCACCGCCTACAGGAGTCTGTGGTCTGCTGCTCTGCCGCGTCTTCCGCCAGGTAAGTTGAAGCCGACGATCGCTCGAATCATCGGTGCCTACAGGAGTGTCGACGTCAATCTTGAGCGGGGTAGATGTTCTCGGAGGCTTCTTTGGCTGCTTGCTGTGTCCTAAGCGCCAGCTTTTGTTATCGGGCATATTCTCGTCGTCGTCCTTTGCTAGCTCTCTCGATAGATGCGTTGCGACAGAGAGCCCCGGGAGCTGAGATACGAAAATATCCATGGTTTCTGTGGGTCGTGGTTGCCAGTTAGGTGAGATTGCGCGGGGCGACTGTCGAACAGAAGGGTAGGAGTTGTTGACTGGGAAGGCGCGGTCGTCTACAATCAGCTCTCACCTTCACCTCCGCTTCCGAATTTCAGCATGACGCGCTCTCACCACTTATGACGGCTATGGACGGCTTCTCGCTGAGCTCCAGTGCCGTCTTGACAGAAGGCAAGCGTGACCTCGCCCGCTTTCACTGCTCGAAGATGTGAGCTCTTCGCTCTTTCCTCACCCTCTTGTCACCTGCAGCGTCTGGACCTTTCCATTAGGTCACCGAAACTTTGATCAGAGGCAGTTACGCATCGATGATGCTAGATACCTAGGTAGAATCGAATCACGATAGCGTTGGGAAGTCGCGTTTTCTGGGGACGGAAGGAGCATGTCTTGTACTTGACCAGCGAAAGCTTCCACTGTAGTTAAAAACTGTGTACAGCTATACAATATAGATACTGTCGCACTCGCAACTTGATAGAATCCAGATACGAGACGGGGAAACTGCGAAGAATACTAGGGATCAAATATGCCGTCCACGAAGCGCCGGTAGTCAAAAAGAGCGGTCTCACAGACCGGGAACAGAGCCTCGTCTCTCGAACTACGTGAAGTTCATGGTTAAAAGTCGCAGAAACGTCATGTTATTGTCAAAGGGCAATCCTCAAGATATGTCTGAAGTCTGCGGCGAAGCGAAGTGTCCACAAACGGCTAGCGCCAGCTGACCAGTTCAACACTCGCGACCTCGGGACAGTCACGGGCGAATGACCATCATTGCACCAACAACGACGAGTTCTGCCCCAGGCTTACGCGTATCGACGTTTTGAAAAGAGCGCAGGTCAACAGATGGTACTGGGCGACTGCTCGCATCGCATTGTGATCTCTGAGATCGTTGCCAAGGGAAGTGCTCTTCCGAGTTTCGGCTGAGTTTGAGTACTGTTTCATCTCACTCCAACCGCTCCGCATCACGGTGCTTATACGGTACTACAGTATCTTAACGAGTCTACTCACCAAGGGAGAAGGATGAATGTGAGAGCAGGCTGAATGCCTTCTTGGACGATACCGAAGTCTGCTCACGTCAACTAGCACGGAAGGCAATTCTACATGATCGCAACCAAGCCGATACTACATATTCCATTGCATCATCGTCATACCCCATAAGGACCTGGGTACAGAAGCCGCGCGTCTCCCGTTCTTTGGGAAAGCATCGACATCCCTCCGACATTTTTGACACACTTCAACACACCTCATCCCCGGCCGTGCCCTTCCCGCAGAACCAGACCGCTCCACTCCCCGCCGTTGCTATGGAGCAGATCGTACTCCTTTCGCTAATACAGTACCAAGAAACAGGCAGGAAAGTCTAGACTCCGGTTTCAGCCTTCTCAGCGCGAGGCACAAAGTAAGGTACCAGGATGACTTTGTGATTGACAACGGCGCCTGATGACGACGACGGCGGTGTGCCTGTATGTCAGATGCGCCGTGGCTGGCAGGCTATAAGTTGGAAGTATCCTCAGGCTAGTAGACGCTTTCCTTACTTCAAGCTCACCATCAAGTCAACTTCTTCAAGTCAATCTTCTTGTTTTCCACCCTTTCTATACATTCACTCTTTGTCGCCGGGCGACTTTACCACGTTTACAACTACCATCTACGCTTCTTCTACATCTACTCTCCGAGTTCAATAATCACCTAAACACTATTTCAAAATGAAGTTCTCCGCTGTCATCGCTACCATCATCTCCATGGCCGCTTTCGCCATGGCTGCACCTGTCGCCAACGAGGGTATGTTCTCTTCTCCAACCCAAACCCGATGTTCAGGAGCAATGACTAACAAGAAATAGCAGTCGCCGTCCGTCAGAACCATGGCATGTGTGTCAAGGGCACCACCGCTGGTGTTGAGCAGATCGAGGGCTGCTAGAAAGTTTATACCCATGAGAGGATGTAGAAGACGGAGGAGCAAGATTACCACGAGTTGTGACTGGGGGAGAAGGAATTGGAGGATACAATGGTCATCGCAGAACGGCGGTGCCGAAACGATATAGAAGCGTCCGTTCTGGTTGCGTTCAAGTAATACAAGACGATTGACAAAGCATCACGGTGTGATGGGCTTGAATCACTCTCCACGTTCCATATTTTCTTTGTCACTCGTTAAGCGGAATATCACTCGCATTTATGGTGCTACTTGTTTTCAGTTCTATGTGACAATGATACAAAACGAGTGGTCTAGAACCACTAGTTCATCGGTAGCCTCGCATGAGCCTTGCATACAACGTATCTGCCTGAGCAGCGTTAATAATAAACGCCACAACAGCAAAGGAACTCGAACATTACCTCTCACTCCAAAAGGACAGACTGTGAAGAAGATGAAAAATGCGTAATTAGGTAAGTCCAACATGACCACATCGCTACATAGGTATATAAACGCTTGAACGCTTCCAAGAAAAAATGCAAGATGGAAATGCCAACAAAATGTCGGTCAGGCACTATGCAAAACCATTACTTCCTCCTAGGGGTATGCACTCTCGCTCTGCTGCTTCTTCTCCTTCTCCTTCTCCGCATTCTTCCCCGGTCTGAAAGCATCCAGACTGATCCTCCTTCTTTCCCTGTCCCTGCCCTCATCTGCACCGCTAGATTCGGCCTCGCTTTCCTTCTCCTTTTCCTTCTGCTTCTTCTTTTCCACTTCTTTGATGGCTTCTCCAGTCAATTCTTGCCTGTTCATACGTTCTACTACGTCCTTCTTCCTCGTCCTCTTGTCGCCCAGCCAAATCAGTAAACCGGCTGTGGCATTGCAGGCGATGGAGCAACAGAGAATGACAGTCGTAATGGCAAAGGGACGAACCTTGTAGTAGATACCCCATGTGCACGCGCCGAGGGAGATCTGGAGTAGAGAGTGGCAGTCGAGAAGTACGACGATAGCGACAAGGAAGCGGAGAGGGAAGGCGTAATGGGTCTCCGTCTCGTGGGGTTTGTAGAAGGAATGTGATTTGCAGAATTTGGCTTGATGGTGTTCGAGCTTCTCTTGCTGCTTTGGCGTCAACACGGTGAATTCCCACTGCTTCTCGGGGTCGGCCGGGTCTATAGTGCGTGGTCCAGATACAGGAGCGTGTTCGGCAGGAAGGTCGTTGTGGTCGGTGAGGTCGGGAAGCATGTCCTTCTTACGGCGGGACCATGTGAAATGGTGGTAGTGAGCAATGTAGATCATGTGGTATGTGTCGACACAACGGAAAGGTGCTAGGCCGTCCCCTACAACAGCGAAGAGAGCAACGAGAACACTGTCAATGACGTGGACGACGTAGATCTGCTGTCCACCGACATTAGCCCAGCCGATGAGGAAGAGCACCCAGGCCAAGCCGAATGCGGTGATGAGGAAGGCGTAGAGGGTGACTAGGAAGCCAAGTGCTGTAGATTGTCAGTAATGGTTGAGAGTATAGTGGTACAGATACTTACGTCTCCTGACATACATGCCGAATCCCTTGAGCGAGCGCTTCATCTTCGAGCGTCTTGAGTGGAGCATGTGCCGTACGTGGTCGTTCACCTCTTTCTTGTCTTCGACGCTCCACCCAGACAAGTCAGTATCCTCAGGAAGAACAGCGAAGCGCGACTCAGTAAGCTGCGAATCTATCGTCATCATGGTGGCCGTCGTGGTCTCAGTCGCCGAGCGCTGGAATCTGGGAGCCGCCTGGGCCGCCTGAGCCTCTGCCTCCGCCTCCGCCTGAGCAGCACGAGCGGGTTCCAGTATGCGGTTGATCTCTTCCAGACTGTCGGTCTCGCTCTTCCGTCGCTTGAGGTTGTAAGTGGGCCGACGGTTCAACCATGGCAGGTTCGGAATGAACAGCGAGTTTTGCATATTCGTCAAGGAAGTAAGCGTCGCGACTTCGGGGTCGATGGTGTCAAGGACATCGACCATGCCTGAGGTGTAGTTGGACGGCATGGCATCTTCCGCTGCAGGAGCAGGAGCATGAGCGCTTGTCGTCGGCGACTTCTCCTCCTCCTTAGTACCCCAAAAGGGTATTCTAGTCTGTATCGCGCTCTTGACCTTCCGTAGTCGACTTCTGTCCGGCTCTGGGTTGTTGAGGGTACTCTGGCTACCGTTGGCGGAGGAAAATTGTCCCAGCTCTGCCTCCTCGTCCAGCGCAGGCAAGGGCGTGCTTGCTCTTATTATAGAACCCTGTGGTTGCTGTGCGGATTGTCTTAGGGCGTTGGATGAGGGCATACGCCGTATGCCGATACTGGCTTGACGGCCGACTTGCGGTCGTCGTGGGTATTGCTGGGGTTTGGTCGGCGCCGAGCTGCTTCTTGCTCGTTGCGCGGCAAGAGTACTTGACAAAGGTCAGCATCGCACTCTCCTCTTTCTCGTGCCTAGAGCATACCTGTACGTGACATGCGACGAGGGATCGGTTGCCCTGGTGGGCTTGGGGACATGTTGGCCAGCATCGATGGATGACTCTAACGAGGTAGGCGGTTCGATGACAGGTTGTTGTGTTGGCTGATCCGCGGCTGCTCCAAAGTCCTGCGCATTCGTCCCAGGCTCGGCGCTCTGAATTCCTTCGTTGACGGCATGCGTGCTGGAGTTATCGTGGGGTGCCTGAGACTGCTGTGGAGCATGCAGCTCGCCCGTGCCGGAGCCTGAAGAAGTCGCGCCGGCACCTCTGGCGCGCGCGATACGCGTCTTCAACCTCTGTAAATCCATAGCGACCACGGAATTGAGGATGGGGAACGCAAACCCCAGGGCAATTCCCGATAAACATGTCTTTATGACTTGGAAACGGCCGTGGCCCAATGCAGTCTGGCGGCTGAGGATTGGCTTTTACAAGCCTGGAATTTTGTCTTGGGGGACGTCATATTGCGCCGCAACCACTACCACCCCCTTTCCCCCAAGACGACTCACTCGCATCGCACGCGCGAGTAACCTTCGCGGGGACGGTCCACTAACGCCAGTCAGTGTTTGGACTACAGAGGTTAACGAGCCATCGTAAGGATCTCACGAAACGTACAGCATGTAGGGCGAGGCCGTTAGGGAGACGTGCTCCAGGGAGCGACCTCGACTCCCCAGATCTGAAACTCCGGTTGGCACCCTTGCAATGATCGTTTTCGCTTACGGAAAACCGGATCCTGGGTGTCACATGCACACTGACGCTATGTCTCGCGAGTCGTGGATGTGTTCTGGTCGTTGCAACTACAAAATATTCATTGTTTTCGAGCATTGATACCGTTCTCATCCTCAACTGTATTGACCTAAAAGGCTGCGGGATGATGCAGGGTCCTTTTAGTCGCACTGGTAGCCAGCGGCGGCGGGTACCTGACTTAGCGTATCTTCACGTTCCGCCCAGTACCGCTGGTTTGACGCTTGTCGTCTCATCTCAAGTCGCTATGGCTGGCATACTGACATTCTGCTCAGGGCCTTGAACACGCCTGCAGCATGATTGTGAAGATCATACTCTATCTGCCCTTGACGAGTCGAGAAGTTTGGTTGAGGTGTTGTTTTTTCACATTCCTTCTAACATCTATGACGACATCCATCCCTCCAGGAACCCGAAAGACCAAGAGAGGTCGATCGCAACCCTAAGCGCTTATGAATCGGCTGCGAGGTATGTGTCCAAATGATACAACAACGGTCCGTCTGGTCCAATTCTACGATCTCTCTCCCCAGCGCAGCCGTCGCTAGCTCACGCAAGAACCGTTTCGGCAAATCAACGCACTGGAGTAAATCATGGCCTCTGAGACCGTACCAACTATCAACAATTAGCTCCCTCATTAGATCCCCGCGTACTGTACCTTTGTAGATAATCTTTATACACTCTGGACCAGGGGTTTTGTGAGCAACGTACCTGTCATATTTACGGGTGCTGATTTGCTCATAGAGTGCCTGAGCTGCCAGATTACGGGTGTGTAGATCGAGCAGCAATTCAGCTATCACGTATACGTGACATATACGTTCAAGAACGCTTGAGTCATCCTTGAGCGTGATGCGATTCGTATAGACGGCTTCCAAATAGTGCTCAACATCTTCTAATTTCAGCTCAGGGTCAACATCATAGAGATTGATAGTTTTCGCGTCAGAGTTATTCCAGCGGCCACTAAGCGCGTTGGCGAAGAACTTGGATCGCGACGTTATGATGGACTGGTGAACGAACAGCTCTGAACGCTGAGACTCGGCCCCAACGAGAACTTTGATGAGAGGTGAGGAGATGAATCTGGGATGCTGTTAGTAGTGATCTAAATTGATGGGCTGTTAGTACTAAGTACCCATCGACACCTAGTCTTAGTACTTTGACGGGTGTGTCAGAAGGTCTCCATGATTCCGTTGAGGATGTGTCAGAAGCTCTCCGTGATTCCGTTGACATGGTGTTCGTAGAAAGGCAGCGAGGTCGTTAAGCTAATTAGAGAGCTCTTTCTTAAGGAAAAGAGGAAGACGAGAGCAATTATCGAAATTAGATTCGTGTAGTGTTTTCTTTGCGACATCTAGCTTGACAAACTTTTGGGACCTTTCACTACCCACTCGGCGGCTTGACCACCTGAGGTACAATCTCAACCCAGTAACCCTGATAGCTGTTAGCAAGCCATTTCCCTCATGTATTTCCTTTCACTAGTTGGCGTCCACTTACATCCGGGTCCTTAACGAAAGCGAGCTGTTTGAAGACATGCTTGTAGCCATCCGGTACCTTCCCGTGTTTCCCTTCTACAGCCTCCGCGGGTAATCCCATCTGTTCTTCTTTCGCCTCATCAAGTGGTTTGATGATTTCATAACCAAAGCCTTTGATCCTTTCCAGTGCCTCAGCGACATCTGGTACTGTGAATCCAATGTGACCGAAGCCGATTCCCGCCGAATTAGAGTAGTCATTGCCAGAAGTATACGGCGTAGACGCGTCGGCAGGAATGTGATACAATTCCAGCAAGCCTTTTGAAGTACCGAGAGTGGCAATGCCTGTGAAGGTCTGAGTGTTTTGTAGGAGATATGGAGTGGATGAGTGTACTTACCATTATCTCGTGGTCCGAGGTAATATATCGTAAATGGACCAGCATTGAAAATGAACACAACGTGCATCCCCAGACAGTCACAGTAGAATTTCAAGCTTTTCTCTGGGTCTTTGATGCGCGTCATGAGATGATTGAGGCGGTACTCGACAGTTGATGGGGAACTCGGTCGTGGCGGAGGAACAATGTGTTTGCCGACCTCGTATGGACCTCGTGGATAGTTATTGTTAGAAGACGCCATGACTGTGTTCCTACGGATACCCTCGTTCAAAGCTTGCGTTTCTTGGGCAACCTCTCCGGCATTCATAACTACTTATATGTCGTTATAGTTTACTAGTCTCAGTAGCCACATGTGGGGCATGTGGGGTAAGCTTGCGGCCTTGAACCCCTACGAGCAGATGCTGGTTGGATACTGTGCTTCTTCTCTGGATGTTACACACTTTGCATGCAGCGCGCCTAGAGAATTCGTGGACTTTCTTCTTGGGAGAAGGGTGGCGCTTTCAGCTACACCCAAAATACGCGTCACACTAGATAGTGGCGCCGATGAAAAGGGAGAACCCATAGATGTGATTGGGAATACTTTCAGCTGAGCATTCTTCTCGATAAGCTCATCATCCCAGAATTATATCCCGGCGGCTACCGGGAAAGCACAGGCGAGGATGTAGCTCAGTTCTTTCGCCGGAATCTACGCTGCGGACCGACATGACCCCTATGCGCTCCGTCGTTCCGTCTCTAGTACGCGTAATCAGAACATAGTCTTTGCATATGACTATGCCCGTGAATAGGTGATTGCAGAGCGAGTAATGTAACTCATCGTCGACATCACCCGTGACATCCAATAGCCATTCATGATCCTCAAAACTGCGCTCGCCAGAGCCGGATATCATCTCAACACTACCGCGTGCTGCGTACGTTGCGTCTTTGTATGTGCTGGTTTGACGATCAAAGATGTGTGAATGCCGACGCCGTTTCGTTGGGATGTAGGCGAATCGAAGGTAGAGAACTTCAGCAAGTATGCGCAACTGATAAGTGTAATCGAGCGCAAGATCACTGTCATTCTCGAAAGCCATCTTCACTAATTCTTCTGTCAGAGGTTCATCTGTTCCATCGAACTTGATTACATGGACTTCTACTGGCAGTATATTGTCCCAGGTCAACGGAGATGTGCATGGCCACAGAACAGGAGCAATCCAGCCCGCCCAGGACCAGCTAGGAAAGCCTTCTCGCCGGACAATTTTCGAGGATGTTTCCGGATTGACAACCCAGCATAGTTCCCGGCAAAACGCAGCATTGAGCTGATATTTCACATCATCCAACTGAACCCCGTGAGCCCAAAGATGAGACCACATCCTAGACCTGGATTGGATCTCGGTACAGGCAGTCATGGTGTACGGTATGCCCCAATACTGATAACACGGGTTGTTTTGGGTGGAGAACGACTGGAAGAGGCCACGCATTGCGTTTAGAACGTCCGATTGATAGCTCAATGCTCGTTTCGTATAGCGCACGATATGCTCGCGGAAAGGATCGTCCCAAGTGCTTCGTATATAGGCGCTGCTCCGCCCGATAAACAGCCCTGTTGAGCCAGATGACTTCTCCGTGGTGACTGACTCGAAACAGCTCATTTTGTTGCACTCAAAGATAACCTGCTCCTCAGTGAAGATGAGCTGCAGGCGTGAGTAAAACTCCTCTTGATACGTCCTGCACGGTAAGAGTTCATGGTCAGTACTGATGCATATGTATAGACAAGGTAACTCACCAAGCTCTTTGGGACCAGGGTGATTCGCGAATGGGTGTTTTGAAGTCGTCTAACCCTGCTACCCATGTCATGCCATTCAACTGAATGGAAGGAGGCGTAGTCCGACTTCGACCACCAACACCGGGTAGTCCATAATCAGAGTGATCACCAGCTGCAGCAACGATAGTCACTGCTGCTGCAGAATAGATCATAGCCATCATAGATAGCTGGCTTTGTAGTTGATGCGGATCCGACTGCTGGTCGAAACAATATCTTGGCGGTCATAGTCAGCATATGCCCAACATGTTCTTCTGACGTGATTCCTACGCACTTATCGCACCACACATATCGGTAGCCAAGCTCAAGGGTGACTGTCATTGCATCCTTGATCGTTTCTGGCAGGTTCAACAAGCTCTCCGTGGCAGTGCCACAGCTAAGGACACTGTCGTGTTTATTGGAAGCTGACAGTCTACCCCAAACATAGCTAAGCGCAACATATTCCGCACCCGGAGGTGCTACGATTATCTTGCGTGACCTGCAGTCGATGACTTTGAGTGTAGTTCTTCCTGGAGCCCACAGCTGAGAAGTCTTGCCTTGATGGGAACATGTATCTCCATGGTAGGTTTTACAGTGCGTAATCCACTTTCGTAGCAAAGGATAGTCAATGAGGTTCTTCGGTAGTGTACGGAATCGCAGGTTCTCATGTCCGGACTCTGGGAGAATGAAGCGGGATACAGTGGAATCCTCTGATTGGACGTAATAGTTCCGGAATGAGAGATCGCGAGGTCCTCCAACTGTTGACGGTCCTCGATAGTCCAAGAGCCAAAAACGGGCTGATTCCCTGATTGTAGATGACGAACACTTTCCGTGCAGTATAGCAGCAAAGAACAGACACAGCGGGCACTTGGAACCGTTCCTGACAACTAGCCTCTCATTGCACACCCCGACTGGGACAGTAAGGCGAGATGCCAAATGTTTGCACTGCATGCAAAGAGGAGGGGTTCTCGACTCCCTTGGAAGGTCGATATCGCGTGCAGAGGCAATGGCGTTCATGTTGTTGGTGTTTCGGCAGAGGCGGCGTAATATCCACGACGTCTAGAATAGGGAAACGCACCCTTATTATGTCGAAAGTCCATAGCAATTCTCATGCTATCTGCTGCATGTATGCGTGGCATTGCTGCTTGAAGTGTGGTGGGGTAGGAGGCTCAGTCCCGCGCGTGAACATCGAAGAAGCCCCGAGGCAAGGCCATCAGAACGCGCTAGCAGCCGCCCCGCGAACAAGGGTCCAGCGGCAGTCCAAAGTTTCGAGAAGGAACATTTGCGCCGCCTCAACACCACCACATTACCGTCAACATGGAGTTCCAAAGAGGAGAGCGCGTAAACTTGAACTTCGATACCGGTGCAGTCGAGAAGCTGGATCAGGAAGAACAGCATGAGCTCCCCATGCCATCATTCCCCACTTTCGTGGGCGACATCCAAGAGCGCGAATCATCACCAGCTAATCCCCCAGTTGCGCCCTCGTTCAAACCGAATGTGAATGGTTTCCCGGCGCACAAGAAACGCGTACCCAGAGTATCGGCTTTCAAACAGCAACGCGCCGCAAAGGAACAACAAGCTACCGCGCCACCGAAAGCGCCGGCAACGACGCAGGATGCGCCTAAGCCGCGGAGCGCATTCGGTGTGGACAGGGACGAGGAGAGAAGGGCAATAGACGAGGAGAATAGGCAGACGCTGGCGGCCATGTCAGACGCGGAGATTGAGCAAGAGCGACAAGAGCTCATGTCAAGTCTCAATCCAGCATTGCTGCAGAAGCTGCTCATGCGGTCCAATATTGACCAAGGGAGCAACGAGCAGGACTTTGATACAGAGCCGCCAGCACCAGCAGCTACTGCTACCCCGGTGACTGACGAACCCAAGCCAGAACCTCAGCCAAAAACCCCAAGCACTAAGAGAGTCTCCTTCGCGACACCAGAACCCGAAAACGAAGCGCCGTCACAGCCAGCCTCGACCTCAATACCCACCACGCAACCCCCGTCAGATGACAACACCACATCGACAGCCATGCCCGATACGAACGACTCAATACATTTCCCACAACCTCCACAACCACCCGATCTCGACCCAAACGACCCCTCATTCCTGAAGAACCTCCACGAGAAATACTTTCCCACGCTACCCTACGACCCTTCCTCGCTATCATGGATGTCGCCCATCGACCCATCCGACACAAAGTCGCCCTACCACCCCTCCCAAACCGCCTTGAACCCCGCCGAACTCCGCTTCGATTTCTCGGGCAACTTGCTAGCACCCAGCGTCGCACGATCGATACCCACCGACCTGGGCCTCCACCACCATGCCGAAGCTCCCGAGGCAGCAGGCTACACAATCCCCGAACTCGCAGTTACAGCACGGAGTAAAGTGGCTAGTCAACGGTGCATCGCATACCAAACACTGGGTCGTATCTTATACAGATTGGGGAGAGGAGAATTTGGGGTTGAGAGCACGGAACAATCTACAGATGGGCCAGCAAAGGTGGCCAAAAACCCAGAGGTAGCTGAGGACGAGGATGGAGAGGAGTGGGTGGAAGAGGATGTTGGCAGTGCCATTGCAGGCGGACTGTGGCAGTGCGTTGAAGAAGGGCGGGTGATTGAGACCTTGACGGAAGAGGCGAATAAGGAGAGGGGTCATCTGACTGCACGCACATTTGCTCAGGAAGCGCTGTGGAATTGGCGGAGAGGTGGTGGGAGGAAGAGACAGGCTGTGTGAGCTTCACAATTCAAGCAAGATGACGGATGTACCACTTAGATGTATGATATCACGAGAATTCACCATATGAGTTCGAACTCATCGTTATGCATTACCCGTATTCTATTCATGCCCCATTACCGATACCAAGATGCTTGTCAGCACGACTTATACCTTGTCATGTCCATCGGCATCACAGCATACGCTCAGCGTAGCTCAAGTCGGCTCGCACATCGCGGGCCCACGTCCGATTGATCGGCCTGTCGAAAGCCTTCATAGCTTTTGCCCCTCTTGGGCGGAGACTCCAAACGAACCCCCTTTCTCTTTGCCGGAGAATTAGTGCTAAGAGAACAGTACTGGTCAGCAACCAATACCCTGGAAAGAAGGAGACAGCAGCAGGGGCTCAGAATAGAAGAGAGCTTACTCCTTCTCCACTCCGTCGATAACAGGCACATCCTTCAAGTCTACCGGCTCCAACGCGGGCATCTCATCGTTAGAATCGTCGTCGAAAGTAACATCCTTCATCTCAATATCCTTCTGGGTATCCTCCTCGGTCTTCTCAGGCTGGCGGCACACGGCCTCGGTATAGTCGTCCACAAGATCGGCTCTTATGTACACGACACCTGTGCTGACCTTCGGGCGGTGTGCCTCCTCCTTGTCGAGCACTACGCTCTCCTGCTCGACTTGATCTACATTCTCGTCGTTGTAGACTCTCCACTCGTCCTTGTGGAAGTCGTAGATGTAAATCCAGTAATGACCACTTCTGACGTCACCGCGGTGGGTAAAGACAGCATGGAGACGGTAGGGCACGGAGTTGCAGTCCTCGAAGACTGTGTCGATTTTGGATTCCAGCAATGTTATCTGGTCGTCGATGCCTGAAAGATCGGCAGCGAGATCGGCGGCACGGGTGTGGAGCGTATCAGAGAGTTCAGGAGGTGGAGTCGGGAGGAAGTCCTGGGACGAACTCGGTTGTTCATGCTCTGACTTCTCCGTGGCCAGACTGTTGACAAAGTCGCTCGTTGCCTCTAGACATTCAGGGAGGTTCAAGCCCTCAATGCCTGTTGTCTGCAGCTTTGTCCTCTTAGCATCTAGCTCTCGCAACTCTTTCTGTTTTGCCCATTGCGCTTTCCGAAGCTCTAGCAGCTGCGCTTCGCTTAGTGTCGGTGTTCTCGCTAAGTAACGATCCATATACATCGTTTTCTCCAGGCCGATGTGCGAGTGGTCGTATACAGGCTTGCCCTCCTTGAACTGTAGCCGCTTCACATTTATGATCTGGATGGGCGCAGCCTTTTCCACGTAATCGTATCGCATACCGCCACCATCCGCTATCTCACCCAAACCGAAGTCTTCGTCCAGGGTGGCATAGAGTGAGCGGTCTCGTTGTCCAGTGGCGACAAGAAAATGGTCTCGAAGCTCTTGAACCTTCTGTACGCCGTCTGACTTTTCCATTACTGTGGTGACGTCGCCGAAGAACAGGTTCTTGATGGCGTCTCCTTGCTCACCTTCGCGCAGAATGCTGTCACCTGTTATGGCACAGGAAATGAGATCAAATATGTTCGACATGACTTCTGCTGCATCCTGTTGTCGAGCGCTCTCCTCAATCCTACCAATTCTCGAAATCGATTGGACAGCAGGCTTGATGGCCGGTTTAGGGTCTGCCCGTGGTGGGATTGGCGGAGGCCGTGTTGGTGGGGCAGGCACGTCGCCCTCGCTCTTGCCTGCTGCAACGTCGTCGTTCATGACAGAATCAGCAGGTGTAATCGGCGCCGCATCAGCATTCTCCATGACCGAGTCTGTAGGATTTGTGTTGTCGCCAGTCACGGCTGAGCCGGCTGCAGCTTCTGCAGGAGCAGACTGCATCGCAGCAGGTGGAAGCATCGGTCCACTAACCGCAGCTCCATCAATCGTGCCCAAGCCTGCGCCGTCGGTAGTGTTTACTGGTGGTGACTCCACTGGATCCGCGGGATTGTCTGATTTGCATAGTGCGAGTGAAGCGAGGTCTATGGCAGGCTGTACCGTGTCTGTGGATGCGGTGATCATGCGCTCAAACAAAGTCCGCAACTCCCGGACGACTACGCGAGGTTAGCATCGATCTGAAGTAACGAAAGACATACTGACACTTCTGTGCCGTCAAAACCCTTTCGGCTGTGACCCACATGCGCCCAACTTTCTTGTTTTTCAAGCTTTCTGGAGAAAGATCTTGTAGGTATTTCTCGCAATTAAGAATGAGATCTCTCAAGGGCTTGATGGTGAACAGGAATTGGAGAACGCTGTTGAGATAGCAGGTATTACCGATATTGCGGAGCCCAACCGGCCATGAATCGAGGGGGTATTTGTTCCTTCTGACTTCGGAGGGGTTGACGTGGTTGTCGCCAAACCTCTGTGACTGGTCGTTCTCGATAAGTTTATACGCTGTCTCCATGCGTGCTCGTTCGCTGGAGCCAATATCGTAGGTGCTGACTAGAGAGCCCAAAACTGCAAGTTCGAGCTTGACGGTTCTGTCTGGTTGTTGGAAAAGGGCGTAGGCTTCCCCAAGGTCCATTTCAGGCTCGCTCATTGCCCCGAACTTGGCGAACTGTCGCAGTCGTTCGCTGTTGCGCGCATCTGCTATGATATCCAGGGCTTTCCTTGCAGATTCTATGCTTGCGGGGCTGTCCTGAGTCTATTTGAGTGTTAGCAATCGTCAGAACAACAAACAAGTCATGTCGGGACCCGATGTGCACGGTACCTTTAGCGAATACATGGTCGGGATGAAATCGTCGGCTACACCAAGCTCAAGATCAAAGAATGCCATGGCCTGCTCGTACGTCTCGATAGAACCAGAAGCCTCTGACCGTATTCTGTCGCTGTCACGCACGTCTCCGAGAACTCGCAGTTGCTTTCGTGCCTCCTCAGCCTGTATAACGCTGACATCGGCTAGCCGCGACCGGAAGCATCCTATGATATGATCGTCGCCTATCACGTTTGCGTGGGTTGGATCAATCCCAAAGTACTGGTAGGCACGCTCGGTATCGCGTTTGCTAGTGAGACCCTGTGAGGCCAACAAAGCAACCTGCATCTGAAGCATCTCACTTTGGCGACCGGCAGCGAGATCCTGCAAGCATTCGAAGTAGTAGGCCTTGTTCTCGATATCGACAGCGCCTTGTCGAGAGAAGGCGAACAGGATTAAGGCGTCGTCGAAGTCACCAACGGCGCCTAGACTAGCGTAGTAACTACATGTCGTCAGTAAGCAGGAACGCCGGTGAAGGTGAAAGCGGGGCACATACGGATGATCTTCTTCGTGGTTTGTACTGCGTGTCTCCCGTCCCTTCGCCTTAGCGTCTGTGCAGCTTGTCAGTGTCCACATTGTGTAACAAGCGGGGCGTATATGGACATACAATCCGCGCATGCTAACGCTCTTTCCATATCGTTTCGGGAAGGTGTAGGATACATCGGCTGGTGTCTGCAGCCCACTCGTTCATTCTCCGGCATGCTAAGTATTAATGTATTCAGCTCATAGCGAGCGTCCTCGATCTTGTTGCGCAGCGTCGATTCGAGAGGAGATGCCGCTTCGTTGGGCCTGGGGAGATACCAGACTTCTACAATGGTATCCTCTTCCTCTTCCTGGCGGTTCTCGAAGCCCAGACGCCGTAGTATCGAGTCGCAGTCCCTACCGAAGGTCTTGAGAAACTTCTTGTTCAACAATGGAATGCGCGCCTTGCCCTTCGCGGGCTTCAACGAATCTTGTAGGTATGTGTTCAGGTAATCGGGAGCATCGACCTTCCGCGCCATGTTTGCGTCTGCCCGGTCGCCGGCGATCTGTTTCGCTGCTTCCCATCGTCTCCTGAGCTGGGCCTGGTCGGTCAAAGTGACAATGTCCTGCTCCGAGAAGCATGGCGGCTTCATGCTAATCCGTACCCTGACTGAGCACTCCGGCGCAGTACAGCGGAAAGTGTAGGTGCGCGGGCGCAGCTGAGCCTCGATTCCACCGGCACCACTCGAGTTGTCTTCTCCTTCGTAGAGGAAGTGGTGCAAGGCATAGTCCTCGTTGCCCTTCCCACACGACTTGATCTTGGTGGCATCGGTGCGGTGGTTGACACGGACATCGACATGCCAGCGACACTTGTTGCAGTATGAGGCGACCTTGTATGTGGTATTCGGGGTTGCGTCTTCGCCTGCAACCGGCAACAGCGACTGCTCAGACTTGGTGAAGAAGTTGTGGCGGCAGTTTCTGAAGGGTACGGCGGCGACTGCTGGGGCTTTGCTGTCGTGTTGCGGCGGGGCACTCGTCAACAAGTTCCGGCCGGCCCGTTCTTCGTGTCGCGGATCGTATGTGATGAGGTCCTGCAGTAGCCGCGGCGCCGTCTTGCCTGTGAGTCGAGGTTAGCACACGCTGGTGGGACGAGGGTGGACAAAGTACCGGGCGCCATAGCTGCTGTGTTCGGTGAGGAGTAATAGTGTGGCGTAAACTATGGATGACAGAATGGAGGGTTTACTGGCAGCACAACATGCACGGCGAGATGGGTGGAGAAGGGCGAAGACGGGAGAAGTTGCTACTGTGTGATTGAAGCGTTTACAGACAGAGCATCGTGGGCGGCGACCGCCTAGTAGAAGACTACAGTGCTAGATTCTGGAGGAACAAGACAGCTAGCCCACGTGAATAGCCCTGACGCATGCAACGACTACGCACAAGAAAACACAAGACCGCAACGGTACAAGCGGCGAGGCACACGGGCTCGCGGCATTCACTGCGACAGCTCGACGACGCGGCGCGCGATGATGCAGCCAGTGCCCGCCCGCCGCCGCTTGAGCCCTGAGCGCCAAGACGCTTATGGTCTGGCGCATCTTCCCGCTGCCGACTTCAACAACGTCCATAGAGCTCCCAAGACGACACCCACGCCCAATTTGCCCGCCATGGCCGACCAATACGTCACCTTCCACCCGCGGGACGCTCTCTCGAATACTGCGAACACGACGCTGCAGACCACGGCCGCCGGCGCCATCATCGCCGGTGTCCAGAACACTCTCCGGAAGCAGAATGTTGGAGCCATGGGCATCCTCACCCGGTCGGGAGGCATAATCGCGCTATACGGTCCGTAGCAGGTCAATTGCAGGAGAATGCATCGGGACGAAGCTAATTGACGTGTAGCCGGTGTGGGAGCCGCCTATCAATTCACACTGGACGCGACCAGCAACCTGCGACAGAAGGACGACTGCTACAGTGAGGCAGTTGCTGGTTTCGTGGCTGGATGCGGTGTTGGTGTTGCCAGTACGCATGCTCAGGACCAATACATACGCCGGTACTAACAGTTCACAGGGCGAAGCCTTCCATTCATGCTCGGTGCCGGAGTATGCTTCTCCACGGTCCTCACTGCCTACCGATACACTGCTGGAATGCGCGGTATTGGAGATATTCGCGACCAGGTCGACGACGATGGCGAGGTCGAGCGCAGGGAAGAGCTGAAGAAGGTGCGCAGGCGGCCAATGTCCGAGACTCTGCAGCAATTGGGCGAGGGACGTGGTATGTCAAATCAGGGCCAGGACATTCTTGCTGAAGCTGACTTTACCAGGAATTTACGGTCCCGGATACGAGGAGAGGAGGCGGCAACGACTGTTGGAAAAGTACGGCGTCGACGTCAAGGCAGCGCAAGAAGCCGCTTAGAAGCATCACACGACCACAAATTTCCTTGCAGTCACAACAGCAAACACTACAAAGACCTAGGCCACCTCCGGCTTGTGTATATACTACCCCAAACAATCGAAGACTTTATCCAAACCTCGATTTCGATGCAGAGTTGAACTTTCCCACATTAGTGTGCACTCGAAGGCAGCCATCTTTGCACTCTATGATCAGATAACGGAAGTCTGAACTGCCAGACTAGGGAAGGACTTTGCAACAGTTGCGCATAAGTTTAAAATACATTCCATCACTTTTGCTACAGGCCAAATGGCATTGAGCTCAAGCGAAGAGGTCGTACGCGATGTGATGAGAGCTTATAACGCAGGTTGGATTCTTTCAATCCTAGATATCTATTGCAGACACAGCCATGCCTCAAGAGATCCATACATCTGACAATACACGAGACACTATTGGTGAAATGCGGGGTAGCGTGCATCCCACCAGTTCGATGATGTCGCGTCTTTCGACCGTCAATTATATCCATCCATAAGGGGTTCGATAACACGAAAGCTTCAACATTATTGACCTGTTGCATTGCCAGACTGTCACCTAAACTCGTAGTTTCTGTACTTCATTGGTCTGCACCATGTTACGGTTTTCGCGCGCTCCATGCGCGTCTCTTTCAACCCCACTAACCAACCCACCGACGCGTGAACTTCTCACCGAAGAACTTCGAGGCTCAACGCATGCCAAAAGACAAGAATACGGCTGGCGAATATTAAACCTCACACCTCAACTCCCTTAACGTCGCGACAACACCCGACGCGCAATGGCCGAGTCCAACCTCAAAGAGACCTTCTACCGCCAGTTCAACCAAGATGTCGCAAGTCCGTCTCCCACATATCCACCACAGCATGCGCCTTGACTAACACACTCAGCACTTCGCGCGCAAATCGAGAACCTCTCCTCCGTGTCCACATCTGGCGGCGAGCGCAACGAAGCAATAGACAACTGCCTGGCCGGCATAAACCGAGTAGCCCTCGATGTCCAGGACGCCTCGAGCTATCTTCCGGCTTACGATCAACGGACGTACAGCGAGGTACGTCACATATCGAAGATAGTGAAGCCAAAAGAAGAGCTGGAGGCTGACAAGAAAGTGTAGACAATCAAGCGTCTGAGTGAGAAGTTGTCAGAAGTGAGGAATAGCTTCGATCCACCCAAGAAATTTAGTTTCAAGAATAGGAGGAAAGATATCCCGAAACCAGACGCTGCACCTGATACATCGAGCGCGAAACCGTCCTCCGCATCGGAACAAACACCACCATCACAGCAACAACAGCAGCACGACACAACGCAACACGACTCGTCCCTGTCAGCGCTCTCCTGGAAATCCCACGCCAGTATAACCCTCCCTTCATCTCCCCACGAAACAAGTTCACCGACAGTGTCCCACCTCACCCACTGCATCGTCGATCTCAGCGCCCCAACGAAAGCCAACGCGCCCTTTGCTGCCGTCTACCTCCGTTCTATAAGCTCGTCGCTCATAATAACCGGCCAAGTCGCAGGCGCAATACACATCACTGATGTTTCCAACAGCATCATAGTGACGGCGTGTCGGCAGTTTCGCATGCATGGGAGCAAGAACGTGGATGTATATCTACATAGTACGAGTCGGCCGATCTTTGAGGACTGTGAGGGCCTGAGGTTTGCGCCGTTACCGGGTGTATATGTTAGTCTTCTCTTGGTACTTGCAGTCTTTGCTGTGTAAATTCGTTAACAACAGTATAGACGACACTGGAGATCGAACAATCGCCAAATCAGTGGGATCAAATCGACGACTTCAAGTGGTTGAAGGCCGAGCCAAGTCCGCACTTTAGTCTGCTACCTGAAGCCAGGCGCATTTCTGAAGACGCGTGGAATGAGAGCATACCCGGGGACGAGAATGAGAGCCCGGATGATACCCTGAAGGCCTTTGGTGTACGGTGACGGAAACCGACCGTCAACACATCCATGTAACAGGTCTCTCAACCTTGGCGTACACTCTAGCCCCTGCGGCTTTCTGGCTTGTTTCAATCATGACACATTCTGAGAAGACATCACAGTGCAACGAAGATCTTTGTTAATGGCCGAAGTAAAAAGTGTTGTATATTATATGCATGCTGATCTGTTGCGGCCGTGTAACTGGTAGTACATGTGAGGAAAACCCTGTCTGGCTTAAAGAACACTCCCTAAAAAGATCATACCACTTCCCTTGACCTCCTCAGACCCACAGTGTAGGTATGTGGACAGAGTTGGAACGCTCCATGCTGAACGCTATACGCGATGCAAGAATGTCTCACCATGTCGACCTCCTTCAACAACAGCGCATCTCCTTCACGACAGAAAGAGACCGATGAGAGAACCACGCCTTGGCTTATGCAAAGTGAGCGAAGACGAGAGCGACGACGATAGCCGCGAGCGAACTCTTTCCGGCACCGACGACATGGCCCGTGTTGATGGGCACTTCGATGTAGCTGGGGTAGGGGGCAACAATCGTGCCGTTGATGCCGCCAGACGGGTAGGGATAACTGCAAAGATTGGTCAATGAACATAGAAAGTACGAAGGGTCAGTAAGACGTACCCAGATCCGGAGGGACCACCAGAGACACCTGAAGGGATGCTGGTCGGGATAGCTTGCGTATTCGTGTTGGTGTTGGTGTCATTGCCAGGCACGTCTGAAGGCCCTGCCGTGATGTACGAAATGAGAGTCTGTGTCTGATAGCTCGTAATCCTAATAGTGCTATCGATGACCGTGGAGCCAGGACCTGTTGTGGGCGAGGGGCTTGGGTAACCAGGAGTAGTAGACAATGACGCTGAATACGTGCCAGGGGCGGTACCCGAGGACCCTGTGGCGGTAGAAGACGTAGAATCCCCGCCTGTGTATGTCGGAGCAGCTTCGATAGAGCTTCCAGGTGGGGCAAAGTAGTTGCTTGATGAAGGTCCGACTGAAGGGCTTCCAGAAGGTAGAGCAGAGCTGGCACCCGGGTAAGAAGCTGTAAGGGAAGTAGGTACAGCATCCGTGTTCGACCTTGTCGGTGCAGCTGAGCTACCTGATGGCACGAGATATCCACTGGAAGACGATCCAGCAGGGCGAGATGGGGTAGCCAAGTAGCTCGATGACACTGTTGGTCCACTTGGGTATGGACCTGCCGGCGATGAGATTGTGATGGAAGTAGGTACGGCATCTGTGATAGAGCTTGATAACCTAGCTGAGCTAGCTGGCGGCACGACATAGCCACTCGACATTGAGCCAGTAGAGGCGGCTCCCGGAGACGTGGGCACGTAATCCGTATTGCTGTTTGGTGGCGCGGATGAGCCGGACGGTACGTAGCCTGGTGTTGAAGGAGTGGCTGGGTTACCAGAGCTTTGCCCTGACGAGGGGGTACCTATAGACGTAGGAACTGCATCCGTGTTGCTGACGGGTGGAGTTGCTGAGCTAGCTGGGAAAGTAGAGCCTGTGTATGACATGCTTGAGACCGCTGAGCTACCAGGGTTCACGGGACCTGGGTTAGTGGGTGATGAGACCAGCGAGCTGCCCGGAGGTGCGACATATCCACTTGAAGAGCCAATGGAACTAGGCCCAGCTGATGAAGCGGGATATGAATTGCTAATGGCGTTGGTGTTGGTAGATGAAGGAACCACGACGACACTGCTTGCTCCAGTCGAAGGCAATACATCTGTGATGATGGTGACTCCAGTGCTGGAAGATCCTGATGGCAGCACCACACTCACGCTAGGAGGCGTAGCATATGCGCTGGATGGGGAAACACCTGTTGGCAGAGCACTCGTCTGGGGAGCAGACCCACTGGGATATTCAGAGCCACTTGGGAAGATTTGAGACCCTGAGATGAGGCTGACAGAGATGCCCGCGGAACTGGTGGGGTAGGCGGAGCTAGCAACTGATGAAGGGGCAGCTGTAGTTGGAGGTGGCCCATACCCAGGAGGCGTCGAAGAAAGTAGACAGATTGTGGTTGTTGCAGTGACATAGACAACAGATGTCTCGGCAGTGGTGGTATAAGGAGGGCAGATCGCAATATCGGTGCAGATCTCCTGGATCAGGTGGGTTGACGTAACCATAACGACCGTGGAGTGGGTATCAGTGAGGGCACGCTCGACACCTGTTGATGTGTCAGAGTTGTTTGAACAACCAAAAAGCGAATGAAGGAGCAATGCTGTTGAGGGAACTGCGGGAAATAGACTTACGAGGAGCTGCAAGAGGCTGGACTGCAAGAACAGTACCCTCGAAGAGGGCGGCAAGATGAGTGACCTTCATGTCAAGCGACGAGCTAGCGGCTGTGGTGAGATGGGATTGAAGAGTGCACCGGATGGGCAGAGGTGAGCAAGATGACCAAAGGAGCAGGCCAGTTGCTGACAGAAGGGCGAGGATGAGTGTGGTAAACGAGTGTAGGAGGTTGGATGTAGAAGAGAGATGATAAACACTGGGCGATGGACTTTATCGGGGAGGCACGAGTGCCAAGGGATGGGTGACCACCGTGAGAAGCTTCGGGACTGAGGTTGGGAAGGTGCTCCCAGGTCATGACAGACACATTCGCACAGCAAGGGCAAGAACGCCGGAAGCCACCGAAGCGGATAAGACTACAGCTACGTCATGACAGGTCTTTCGCAACTCAAACTACAAGCGCGATTGCGGATAGGGAAGCTGCACTGTTGCATATGAGCGGACCTTCACCCCGATGCTGGGTAGGACTGGTGGCGAACGACCAAGTGCTGTTCAAACTCATATGTAAAGACCAGGAGGATCAGATGGAAGATGTAATTAGAAGAATGAGATTCTACATACATGCGGGTATACTGTAGCTTGTCATCTTGATGCTTTTAACCCAAAACGCCCGGATGTGCCAATCCGTGTATGGACACCCAAAAACCTAGCTCGGTGCCAGACGCTACTGACGTGTCGGCAAATACGCACCACCAGCAAGTACCAGGTTCATTCTAGTGAACTGCACCTTGTACACGGGACTGTCCTTGGTCGGAAATACGCTGATTTGGTCCGCCGAGACACCGGTCTCCTTGCTGGCTTTCTTCCCTGTGACTGTGGTTCCACTCGCGCCCTTGGTCGTCATAGCACCGTCCGCTTTCGCAGCCACGCCATCAGCGGCCTTGTCACTGGTCTCTTGTAGCACATCCCAAACACGGACTGTCTTGTCCGCTCCGGCTGAGACAAGGACGCTCGATTCCACGCTCCAAGATAGCGACCAAATACCACCCTTGCCGTGTCCTCGCATGCGCTTCCGCCTTCGTCCAGTCTCAAGAGTCCAGAGAATAATGTTACCTGCATCGTCGGCGGAGGCAAGCGTCCTGCCGTCGGGAGAACATGCTATGGCGGTCACATTGCCCGTGTGGCCCGTGAAGAGGCGTAGACAGTTACCACCGGCGATGTGCCACATGCGTACTGTGCGGTCGCAAGAACCAGTGAAGATGTATAGGTTGTTGGGATGGAAAGTGACGCAGTCAACGTCATTGTCGTGGCCGACATAGATGCGTAGAGGTTCAATGTGATCTGTTGACCACAAGCGTGCGGTGCGATCATTTGAACCAGTAAGGAAATAGTGTCCATAAGGTCCCCATTGCAGATCCCAGACTGGATTGTCGTGTCCGCGATAGGCTACAAGACATGTGTATGTGTCTAGCGACCAAAGTCGGACTGTTTTGTCCTCTGAACATGAAAGAAGGCATTCTGAATTTGTTGGTGGTCCGGATGGGTACGGGTTTGCTGTGGAAGGTGAGAAGGCCACTGCAGTGACTGGACCCGAGTGGCCGACAAGCCGTCTTGAAGACGATGGTTGTGCGTCTGGCGCATCGTTTGGAGAGGTGAGTGGACTGCCGTCCATGGACCAGACGCGTATGTAAGACTCGTTCATACCGGCCGCGACAAGCTGATTGTCACCAGAGAAGTCGATGCAGTTGATACTATCATCGGGTCAGCTGCATTTTCGGGACAGAAGAACGAGTGAACTTACCTGTCATAGGTGTTATGGAAGGTGTACATGGTGACGCTGACAGCTGGGCCAACGCCGCCTGTTCTGCCTTCCATCTTGTAGCGATCTCGGTGCTCGATGATCTTCTGAACCTCCATGGAGACGTCGCGCGCAAGGGAAGGCGGCAGAGGAACGAACTCACGTGAGGGACCGTCTTCTGTTGGCTCCTGTTTTATGCGTTGCTCGAACTCCTCTACCAAGCTTGGCTGTCCCGGTCTTGGCGCGCTTTTAGCATCCTCGTCCTGTAAAGCTGCTCGGACGTCTTCCTGCAGATCCGCCTCTTGTGGGTATGCGCCTAGCTGCAGCCTTATACGGGCAGCCTCTGCCTCAGGGTCGTGGCGCGCAGTGAGGGGATGGCCTGGGGCGTGTCCTGGGATACCTTCGTCTTCTGCTGGAAGCTCGTCTTCGCCGTGTCCACTTGCGAGGATTGCTGCTATACTCTTCTCGGCTGTTGCCGTTCGGTCGACGGTTACGATGTTCAGGTGTTCCCGGATTACGTCTATGATTGTCGAACCGCCGTCAAAATGCTTCGACTCGAGGAACTGAATGAGATTGAAGAAGGGCATTGTCGTCAGCGTGATCCGATATTTGTTGTCGATGTATAGCTTCGCGATACGGCTCTCCTGCAAATGTGCTTGTAACCGGACCTGGCGAAGCGTTTTGATATCTTCGTCATGGTCGCGCTCGAAAAGACCCTGATACGTCGCGAAAAAGGTTTCTGCATCCTTGGTGTAGAAGTCGCGCACCATGTCGAGGTACGAGTAGACGAAAACAGGCCACAGCAGCTTTCGCAACTCTGGTCTATACAGATCCAGGTTGTCTTCGGTGTATTTGCGCAGGAGCTCGAATGCTTTCGTGTATCTCGCGCCGCCCGCTTCGGTGCTTTGCGCTACGAGGGATTGGCCGTTGGTCTGCGGTTCAGACTCTTTTCGAAGCATCGCCTCGGTGCGGACATATCCCTTTTTAGAGAGGTACTCCAGTACCTGCATGAATGTCAGCAACAGCCTTTTAAATCACGATCATCTACATGATGTCAAGCAGCAATCAATGCTTCAAGTGCGCAGTACCGAGGTGTGGCCACCGTTGTTGGTCGCATAACTCTTCCCGTACGCCGATGCGTTCATATTTGGCTGACTTTACGTAGTTGGGAGGGTCGGAGTTAGAGCGCGCGAGGAGTGGAACCGTCGCAGCAGGAGAGTTCCGTCGTGGTAGACGTAGCGGAAAAGTGCGCGCGACTTGAAAACGGGATCGCGCAAGGCAGACGGGAGTGTAAGTCGAGAATACGGCCAAGAACAGCTTTCTTTCACGAAACGCGACGGGCAGAGACCGCGCGGACAATGCGCCTTCACCCGCCGCAATTGTGCGAACCCTGACAATAGCAAATACGACCGCAGTGAGAGAGAAAATGCTATACCTACAATCTGATTCAAGTTTTGCTGCGATTGCGGCCCCGAGGCACCTGGCGGCGGAGGTCCCCCTTGTGGAGGCATGGCGTTATGTGGTGGTAAACCTGCGCTGGGCGGTCCATTTCCCACGCTCATTTGCCTCACAGGCCCGGGCCCTTGAGGGGGCCCTGACATGGTTGTGGTGTTGTTCCTTCTCTTCTACGTCGGCAGGGAGCAGCTCCTTCACCTCGAGGCTGGGTGGAGACGGGTCGCAATGTGCATGGAGGGCCGGAAACGTCTCCCGATGGTCGCTCCTAGGTCGCAAGTGGTATTGGAGCTGTTTTGACGCGTGGCGACTTTGATTAGATGGGGGTATCGCGTCTGAAGCTTGCCAGGACGTCACCGAGGCTTGCCGTGATGCGGAGTGAAAGTCGGAGGTGAGGTTCGATGCGCGCGGCCTGCCAAGCATGCGCCGGTGCGCGCCTGCATTGCGGGCCCTGAGCTTCCCCAGCTTCGACTCCAAGACACCAGGCACACAGCACCCAACTGTCGCATTACTTCCTGACAAACGTGCTGCTGTCGCATACACTTCGAACTGCAAATCCGCACGTCTACCGATTGCTCTACCTCACTAATTATCCCTCCTGTCCACAATCGCCAAACAACCCGCCATGTCTACCGAAGCCAACCAACAAATCGCAAACGAGACGGACCAGCAGCAAGCCGGAGACGCGAAAGCATCTGAAGAGCCGAAAACGTACCGGGAAGTCGCCGCCGAACACATCGATACCCTCAACGAGATCAACCACCAAATACCCAAACTGCTCAAGTACTTCGCAACTGCCCTGAGCCAGCTCACCAACGATCCGATCCCCTTCCAACATGACGCCATGCAGTGTACACCGGGTACCCTCGAAGCGCGCAAAGAAGCCTTCCGAATCAATGCCCTCTTCTGCGGAGCATCCTGCGAAGTAATAAGATCAGAGTTGGTCAAGCAAATAAACGCTCTCGAACGCTACAAGGTCATACCGAAGAGCCATCCCAAGTTTACCGTCAATCAGAGACAGGGGCAGGGGCAGCCCCAGAAAGGCAAGGAAAACGAGAGTGAGGTCGTGGACCCAGAGAAGGAGGTCAAGAACGGAGGTTATGGCGAGTTTGACGTTGGTGTGTTGAATGCGAGGGCCAGCTCGGGACAGGTTGGGACGGAGGATGTGTTGGATCGTGCGAAAGCGATTCTGGAGGAACTACAGAAGCGGACTGGAGGTGCGGTGGGCGATGAAGAGGATATGGTCATCGATGGATGAGGAATCGTGGCGTAGTGATGTACGACCATCGAACCAAACAACCAAGCACCAAGCACACGATGCAGCGCGGCCCAGGCAAACCCATACGTTATACCCGACCTTACACGGCGCAGCGTACGGAATGGGGACTCTAGGGATGTACCTGGAAACTGAACAGCAGTCACAAGGGGCAGCAAAGCCGGAATAGAGGGCAACTGAACCTGGATAAACTCTATGCCACCCTGCCAACACTCCCGAGATGCAGCAGAGCAAGGAAAGTCATCATAGATGCGCAAAACTGTTCACATCTACAAGCGGACAGATGAACAGATCAAGTGATGTTCGATACTTTTACAAATGAATAATGCCGGCCCAACACCAGGGCCTCAGGCTTCGCTACAATGCTCCCGCTATACGTCTCCTTGTAGCGTTTAGTTCCCTTTCTCGAGTGCCTTTTTCATGATACCAATATCCTCGGGTGTGGTCCGACAGCACCCTCCGATAAGACCAGCTCCAGCCTCGTTCCACTCCATCGTCTTCTCAGCCAACGTCGAACCTTCCGTTCTCTTGCCTTCCCACTCCCTCGCCTTCGCATTCCATTGCTCACCAGAGTTGGGATACACCATCAAGGTCCCCCTCTTCACCAATGGCTTCAAAGTCTTCAGAGCAGCCAACCCCAAATCATCTGGCACACAGTTGAAGCCTAGAGCAACTACCTGTTCCACATCATCAAAAAGTGCTGCGATCTCAGAGATGGGTGTGCCGTCGCTGATGTGAGAGCCATCCCGTAATGTGAAGCCAAACCAAGCTTCCGTGTTAGGAAATTCTGTGGTGAGCAGGTCGAGGAGAGCTTCAGTTTCGCCTTTGGATGGTATCGTCTCGATGCCTAGGATGTCGGCGCCGGCGGACACGAGGGCTTGGATGCGGCCGCGGTGGAAGTCCTTCATTTCGTCTTGAGGAATGGAATAGTCGCCTCGGTATTCTGAGCCATCTGAAAGGAATGCGCCATACGGGCCTACGCTCCCCGCTATGAACAATTTACTTCGAACATCCTCATTTGTCTCGGTGACATATTCGTCTCTTGCTCGCTGGGCTAGTTCCACGCTTTTGCTTACGACTTTCCGGGCTTCTTCTTCACTCAAGCCCAGGTGCTTGACTAGTCCCGGAATGGAGGCTTGGTAGGATGCTGTGATTGCAACATTTGCGCCTGCGCGATAGTAGTCGAGATGTGTTTGTTTTATGAGGGCTGGCTGATCAAGCAGTATGGATGCGGACCACAATGCGCCGCTTATGTCTGCTCCCAAAGTCTCCAGGTATGTTGCTAGCGCGCCGTCCAGGATTATGGGGAAGCCTTTAGCGACGTGGGCAGATAATGGGTTTGGTGCCGGTGACGATGCCATGATGATTGTCGTGGAATTCTTTGTGTGTATCCAAGAGATGAGAAGATGAAGTCCTTCTTAGTAAATGGGAAGTTACAGAACAGTAGTGTTGAAGCTGTGTGCTGAGATTTAGTCATAATCCGATGTGCGGAGTTTCGAGCGCCGATGCTCAGTGGGCATTCGACATCAGAAGACCGTTCTACTTGGAGGGTGAATGGCTCTACTTCGTTTACATTATGATCCCAGCCAAACAATATCACCCACCATGGAGCAATCAAAGATACTATGCCGCTGCCTGACTTGGTCGTTGATTGTGTGGAAGAGGAGGGTTGGGGGAAGAGACGAATCAGAGATTAGCGCGAATCCGAGGTGCCCCTGCCGTCGCGTCGCGTGCATTCCTTCCACACGCGACATGCGCAACACAGCTACCGCAGTAAAGAAAGTAAGCGCCTCTAGCTCGCATCTATCAGTCTGCAGGCAATTGCTACACACCTCTACAACGTAATGTTCATCGGGTGTTATCGACCCAGCTCACCGTCCCAATCGAGGAAAGAACTGATCACCCTGGAGCCTATATTGACGCCAGATTTCTCAATTGCTAGTTTTATCCCAGCCTAGTCTTCAGACCTGTTCGGATTTGTTCCTCGTATGAGGTGTCAGCATACCTCAAGTCTCAGTCAACAGTCTAACCGTACCCGCTCGCTTCACCAGTCAAGCAATCATGGAGAGCTTTGACCCGTCATCGGGACTGGTCTTTAGGGAAAGTACGACGGCTTCCGTCCGCTCGATGATACCGACATGGATGGACAATTGTCGTGGTAGAAGGGTGGACCCATCAAAATACCGCCGCTCAGCTCGAGGATGCGATACACTGCAAGAAATGGCACTCCGTGCTTGTGTCTGGAATATTGAGAACATGGACGTTGAAGCTGTGCAGTGGCTCGGATGGTCCTATGCCAGCCGCTTATACGACCATCTCAAGTACAACGACACACTGTCCTTCCGTACATGGAGTCTCTTCCAGAAAGCTTTTCCAGAAGACATCGACCGTCACTCTAGATTCAGAGTCCAGGACAACTCTGGAGGTCTCCTACCCTCTGTCGTCGATCGATTGGCCAAGCTCGACGCCCGCACGCTGACATTTCTGTGTATTCGGGTCTCCGATATAACGATTGACCAACTTGTTGCCCTTAACAAGATCGAGACGCTTGCAGTTCTCACATTAGAAGTTGGAAGAAGCCGGCAGAACGCATCACTATCACTTCAAATGATGCGCGACTGGGGACGAAGTGTTGGCGAAAGTGGTGCAATGAAGAGTCTGCGCGTACTTGTCATCAACAACTACATCAGGCTTCCGAAAAGACCAGTCTTGGAGTTCATCTCGTCCTTTTCAGGTTTAGAGCTAGTTGGAATCCACAGTCCACAGTTACCCGAGCCTGCAGAGTGTGGGGAAGGCTGGGAAATACATTCAGCTTCAGCCCTCCTAAGCGAATGGAGTAGTTCCGGTCTAAGGAGAAATACTGCCGTACAGCAACTGTACGAAGCATCTTTTGTATCCTCTTCCGAAACATCACGAGACGCTACTACTAGTGGCTGCAAGATATACCGATCCCTCTCCTTTCAGTACGCTCAAGGGAGCAAGAATTCGCGAGACGACGATGTCGCGTGGTTTGTACGGAAACAACAAGCTGAGCGGCCAAACAAGCGTGCCCGCGAATACAAACCCCCACCAGACGGCGGCAAAAGGAGGGTACGTAACGACAAGAAGGTCGACATGGGTTCGCTGCTGGGTAGTTTTGGTTGATTATGGTACAAGCCGGAAACCACATGGTCTGTTATAGGAGTAAGAGCAAGGTGCCATTATACAGCCAGAAGACATTTGGTCTCTATTTGGGTATTCACGTTCGTAGAGAACGACACTGTATACCACCAGGTTACCTCATGTCACATAAGATCTACCGCCTGAGCTCTGTCACGCCTTCCGATGCTGTTGAAGCTGTTCCACCATACACGCTTCGCACACTTCCTTTCACTCTCATGTGAGACGGAACACGTGTTTTGTTTGCCAGATGGACTCATGGGCGTACACCAGTATGTTCTTCCCTCAGGGTCCGCACAATGAGGAGCGTGATCCCCCTAGATGGTCTCTCACTTGGATCTAGTGGACCAGAAGCTGCGTTTGTATCGTGAAAGGAAACAAAGACTACGTCATAGCTATGGTCAAACTGCCTGCCTAAAATCCTGGCGATAGTGTATTGAGTTTGTACCTTTGTCTTACAAATTCTTTTGTAACGGCCTACCCTTTGCACCGATCACACATTTGCAACCACGCGGACTTTTCTCACCACAGTCAACCAAAGTAACGAGTCCAAGACACCCTTGCTATGGATGACACAACGGAGAATACATCGGAGAATACACCGGAGAACACACCGGAGCGTTCGAAGACAAACCCAACTACCTTGTTCGGTCAGCCCGGAAGCATTCCTAGTGACACACCGATTCCAGGAGAATCTAGAGTGATGGGTTCTGAGTTTGACTCTAGGCTCACCGCGCCTGCAGTTCAGCAGGTTCCTGGTAGCTTGTTTGGGTAGCACAGTACTAGTGGCTTGTTTGGAGGTAAGGCTGCTGCTCAAGTCGCTGCTGCTCAAGCAACTGGGCAGCCGATTTCTGGCGGGCTGTTTGGTGCTCTATCAAACCGAAACCTATTCGGCGGATGTACCGAGCCGCCACCGCCGAATAGCGCAAATGCTCGTCCACTCTTTGGGTTCGGCAGCTCATCTCATTCCAAGCCTGACACCGGAGGTGGAATCTTCGGCAATATTGATCAGGCTAGCAACTCGCGCAAGGGAGATCTGTTCGGACATGTAGCGGCCGTGGATAGTGAATATGCCCGCGCCGATCAGCATATGTTGAAAGTACCGGATGTTCGCGTCGTCGAAGACCAGGCAGTCAAATAGGTACCTCTCCCCTGTATTTTCCCTCTGTAGAACTAACAATAGTAGCTTCGGATGTGATCTCCTCACCATCCACGTCGGCAAGGACGAGCGTACACGAACCTTCAGTATCCACTCTGAGCTCCTCACTGCCCGGTCAACCTACTTCAAGGACTTGATATCCAACGAAGGTGACCAAAAGACATTTGATCTGCCTGAAATCAACCCTCGCGCGTTTGCTCTATACTTCCAGCTCATCTATACCGGTCGCATTCCAAGTAAACCTAACGACGCATCCGATGCTGAACACGACGAGTACGCCCTTCTGTGCAAGCTATACACTATTGCCCACCTTGTCAAAGACGCTAATGCCAAAGATTCTGCCCTGGATGCTATTCTCGTCAAGGCTACTGAGAGCGCTGAGATCCCATCAAGCGAGCATGTATGGATCGTCTACGCCGGCACTGAAGGGCCCTGCAAAGGTCGGAAGATGATGGTCGAGTTCTATACCTACAAGGCTACTGGAGAATGGATGAGAGCACAAGGCGAGGACGCACATGGACGAGGTTTTCCACCAGAGTTTTGGAGTGAGCTGGCAATGAGCTTGGTGGACAAGAGGAGCCTGGCAAATCGACGGATGGCTGGCATGGACGCAAATGAATACCACGGACAGTGAGAAGGGATGTTAGATAGGCGAACAGATACACTCGCGCTGTTGGATGTTGGATGGATAGCCTAGAGTTGCGAATGGTATCGAAGCGCATACGAAACAGATGTACGAGTAACAGCATGTGGCTCTCAGGCCGGCTGATGGCGAATGAGGTCTTGAAAACACCACTGAACATCTTGCTTATCGTCACTTATGACTTGCTTCGGGACTTCGTGCATTCCAATACTGCCAGCGGATGACATCGTAGCACTGATCCAGATGACATCGATCTCGATCTGAAACCAATGGTTTACCCACACTCCAGTGGAAGCTTCCCGAAAGTCAGCGAGCCACTCCCAACATGCTCATGAGTCGTGGATGAGCCTTCTGCAGTTTGACTAGTAATGATGCCCAAAGCCTCTTGATGGACTATGCGCATTTGTTGAGGCGAGTCACAGTGCGCGTGCGCGTGCGTGATGAGATAGTGACACAAGATAAGAGAACGTCATGTCGGGAAGATAGTCATGCCTTTGACCAGTACCCAGAACTCGGGATTTGCGGCAACGCAGCTGAGCATTTCACACGTGGACAAGCGAATGCGAGGAGTGGTGAATGAAGGATGTCCCTAGGACACTCAGCAGCGCTGATGACTGTTTCGGGCCTTGTGCCTTGGCAGCGGGGCTTAGACCGCCTGCGGGCTCCCCCAGATGGTCCCCTCGCCACCCTTCCCTCTTGGCCGATTAATACCCTCCACGCTCCACCCAACTACTTGCGACCTTCCTCACACACGCGCACTCTCCACTTCCCGCGACACGACAACCGCCTGCCCTACCCCACCCTTTCAGCACCCGCAGAGCGCCACCAGTCGATTTCATGACCACGGACATCCAGAATCTCAAGTCCTTCGATCCGTTCGCGGAGGCTGATGATGCTGGAGGAGAAGTAAAGTCCACTCAGCAGAACTACATCCATATTCGTATTCAGCGTACGTATCCCCTCTGTCTTCTTCCTCCCCGAAATTCGCATGTGTGCGACATCGGCGCGCCGTCCCTTCCCCTCTTTCCCCATGTTTCAAGAAATCGCGCAAGGCTGACGTCAACCCCCCAACAGAGCGTAATGGTCGTAAGACTCTGACCACCGTCCAAGGACTGCCCAAGAAGTTCGACCAGAAGAAGATTCTCAAAGTCATCAAGAAGAAGTTTGCCTGCAATGGCACCGTCGTCGCAGACACTGAGATGGGAGAGGTGATCCAGTTGCAGGGAGACCAGCGCAAGGATGTTCAAGACTTCTTGACCGACAAGAAGGAGGGCCTGGGCCTTGATGGCAAGACCATCAAGGTCCACGGTTTCTAAACCCACAAGGACGTGGATGCGATGCGCACCGCCGCTCCTCCCGCCGAAGCCGAACGACCGCTCCAAGGTCTTGCCAACAATGCGGCGGAGGAAGAGCAAGCCGGCATGTCGCACGTGTGTGGCTCACACGCGACAGTGCTGAGATGCGGTGCGCACGAGCAGATACCCCACGTTCGAGGAGGATAACGATTTTCCTATCTCCATCTCTTTGAAGGAATCGGATACGACGTTTGAAGTTTCGCAGGCTGAAGTATCAGCGCTGCAGGATACTGAGGGAGAGACCAAAGTGGTAGTTTCGGAGGATACATTCAATCAAAGATTTCTTTACTACGATCATTTCAAGTGACGATGTTGTCTCCAGGGTCTCTAACCATTACTGTGCCATGCAATCCCTTACTCCACGTCTTCATCTTCAACCTCTCTGATAGTCTCATCTTTCTTAGGTGCCTTGGCCTCTTGTTTCCGATACAAATTAGCCAGCTCCTCTGCCTCAGTAGCCTCCTCGATGCTCTTGTCTTCTCTGACTTTCAGGAACCTGGGAAACCTAGTACTCAACCCCCTGTCCTCATTGACCAACCCAATCGCAGCCGTATACGTCGGACTCAGCGTCAAATCTGCAAAAGCTACCTCCCACACCTCTTGCGGCTCAAACCAAACGGCGGGTGTTCCCGCTCCGCCATTATACTCCACATAGTGCGGTTTCCCAGCTAGTACGGTCGTGGAATCCGGGTCGTCTGGATCGTACTTTGCGCGGTTCGCTTTGTAGAACGCGTCCGTGAAGCCGGACATGCATTTTGTGACTGCTTCGAGTTGTCCAGTTTCCGCGTTGCGGATGGCGAGAAGAATAGGTGACCACCATGCTGCTTTGCGACCAGAGCCGTGGAAGGCGGCGATGGGGATCAGGTCGAGGGTTTCGGAGGTGGTGCTGTAATCTTTCTTTACTTTGAGCCAGCTGTCGAGGCGTTTGTCCGGCTCGTAGGTCGAGAGGAGGGCTTTGCGGCGGCCGGACATCTTCGGTTCGTCTGTTTCGGTCTCCGTAGCTTTCGTCTTCGTTTTTGATTTCGCGGGCTTTTTCTTCTTTGGCGTTGGTGGGAGGGAAGGCGTCTTTTCGATGGCTTCGTCGGTTTCCGCGAGGAGGTCGGGGTTGGGTAGGTTGTCGAGGATCTTGACCATGATGCCTTCGCATTTGATGTCCAGGGCGCTTTGGAAGAAGGATTGTACTGCTTCTACGTCGGCGGACGTGGCATCTAGACTCTTGACCCAGGTGAAATGGTGAGGGATTTCGACAAACAAGCTTTTAAGTAGCGATCTCCGTTCTCTGAAAGGCCGGTTGAGCAGTTCCTCGCCGTTCAGGTACATTAAATCGAATGCAAACAGGCAAACGTCGATAGTCACCGCGCCGATAACGACGTCTTTCCTCGCACGATTTGCGAGTGTCTGGAAGGTCTTGAGATCTCCGCTCTCGCGATCAACAGCAACAACTTCGCCTTCGAGGATGAAACTTGAGACGCCCTCGCCACGTATCTTGGGCACCAGTGCTACCAGATCAGGATACTTGTCGGTCATCACTTCCAGATGGCGCGAGAAGATCGTAACTTTGCCCTTGTCGTCGCAGTGTACCTGAGCTCTTTGTCCGTCATATTTGTACTCGCAGGCGAAGTCTCGTCCTTGTAGTTTGGTGAGCATCTCGCCCATATCTCGCGTGATGCTGCCTAACATGGGCCTGAGAGGGATGTGTAGCGACAGCCCACAGCGCACAAGTAGTTCGTCGCAAACACCAATTTCGAGAAGTACGGGTATAAGGTCATTGTAGTTCGGTCGTCGAGCGAAACATGCCTTCACGATCTCCTCATTCCTGCTGTAGATCTCCGCGAGCTCCTCCTTCTTCAATTTCGCCAGGTCCTTCCGATCACGGATCTCGAATTCGGCACCTGATGGTTTCGACAGCATAAAGGCCCGTGACAGCGCGATGAGCATTGTGGTTTTGACAGCTCCAATCCGCAGGTGTTGCACAAGCGTGCGTACGATGTATCGACTCTCCTCAGCACCTCGCGCATCTTGTACCAGTCTCTCAACAATCCTCTGCTTGTTCTCTACGCTGCCATGGCCTTTGCTGTTCGCAATCTTGACTAGCGAGTCGAAGACGCTCCTGATCGTGAGAGGCTTCGGTTTACGCAGGGTAAAGCTCTGCTTCTTCTTTGCCTCGAATGCTACATCTCCAGCGTCGCCATATTTGGCGTTCAGCACCTTCAAGCCTGCACTATCCAGTCCGCAAACTTTCTTGAGCGCTTTCGAGATCGCCGAACCTCCCAACCCAAGTTCCAGATCGATGTATGGGGGCGATATTGCGTTCGTCGCGAGCCATACCGCCGGGAGTAAGCTGCTAGGGTCGCTTTCGATGATCGTTCGAATGAGGTTGACCAGAGTGTCAACAATCTTAATGCGACTCGTCGTACTGTTCACTAGGATGAAACATCTTGTCAACAGCGCATATGTCGCGTGCCCTCCGTCGACTACCCAATGCTTTTGTAACTCTGGTATGTATTCCGAAGGGTCGAATTCGAGAGGGCTCTGGTCGAAGGGTATGTTCGCTGTGATCACGTCTTCTTCGGAAGCGGTCGACTGAAGAGACAGCGTGTTCTTCTTCTGGGTAGGTTCTTCCGATGGCGTGTTTGCTAGAGCCGGTTCGCGCGTTGGCAATGTTGACACTCCAACCTGCCCATCTGCATCCTGCGCTGCATCCTTCGTGCTGGCCTTCTGGGGCTCTTCGTACAACTCATTTGAGCTCACCGGCTCCTGGTTTTGCGCCTGCTGTTGGTCCTCCTTGTCCCATTGCTCCTGGAGTTTGCGCGCGAGTTGCTCGTCGGTCAGCCCTGTGTCGTCTTCGTCCACAGGCGGCTCGCTCGGGCCTGCGTTCGTCGGCGCATCTTTGGCTGTTGCTTTAGCCGTCTGCTTCGCGAAAAAGTAGTCTAAACTTCGTACCGGCTTTCCGGAGCCATCGTTCTTCTTCCGTCGTTTGGAAGGACTGTTCATGACGTGAAGGCTGGTTTGAGCGACATAGCCATTAGCAAAGCGGGTGGCATAGGGGAGTGTGGTACGTCATGACGCGGGCGCTTGGACCCAGCCGAACTCCATCTCACGTGCACACGCGTCGATCGACTTAAACATCCTCAGATTCATCTCATTTTTTCCTCCACGCTCACATCTTACCACAAGACTCTGACAAGCACACCATCTAGCGTAAAGAAAATTCCGAGGTGGTCGAAATGACCAAGTGCTCTAAGCACATATCGGAGACCACCAATCCTCTGCGCTGAGAACAGGATCGCGCCGGGACTCAAGCTCATCCAAGGTGAAGATGGATCGGCCTCTGAATCTGTCACACCATGACCCTGACAAAGAGGTCAAACTGATTCCCAAGCTGTGCTCTTCGTTTCTCGAACTTCCGATGGCCAGCCATCCCCTCCAAAGCACCATATTTTCCTAGTCATAGTAGTCGAGGTCAACGATCTCCGTCTCTACCACGGGCTTTTCTGGGCGCTCGACAGGTCGCATGCGCTTGTTATTCCGGCCGTAATAGCCATCGCCACGAGGACCAGATGGAGGCCGACCTTCTGCGCCTGGTGCATCACTCCAGCTGCGTAGAAGACCCTGCGTATCATCGTTCGGGCCGCG